ATCAATACAGTAACTTCAAATATTAACAGTATGAATTCATTGATAATTTGCAATCAATTACAGTGAAGGTGTCCACTTTTGTGAAAAAATCTCTTAACTTAAAACAATCTCCTAATACCTACAGATTAAGAGACAAAGGACAGATGTGGATCCAGAATTGTGGGTTAGAGGGACGAAATTTTTTGTTAACGGAAAAAATAATCTTTTTTGTCCAACACCTCCCTTTTACATTTTTTTCTTCATAATTCCCTTAGAAACCCTTTCAAATTCTCTAGCTTCGAGTTGGACAGAAAATCTTGGATTGCATTATAAATAGGACGGTGAATCAATCCTTGAAACTGAAATATGAAGTACAATAATGTTATGGTAAATTTACCAATAAAAGCCACCCGTACTTGACGGCAATTATACAACTTAACTTTTCAAAGTCTGACCTAGATGCAGCTCCAATTAAGTTTTTTTGTATGTGATTTATTTAAAGTGCTGTATTACATTAGAGCTCTACACGGTAATGTGACGATGAATTTTTAGTTTATTATAAATTTTAGAAAGTGAAAGAAAGGAAATATTTTGGATATCTCTTTTGTGTCAAAATAAAGTAAGGCAATGGAAAAAACAAACAATAATTCTGGACAAATTTGTAGTGATGTAGGTGCATTGTACTGGGATATATATTGTTACAACTCCAAATATGGGCATACAAGTTATTGGTAATATCTTATCATGTATCAATGTTACTGTATAGAAAGTGAGGGACTAACAGTTTTGTACAGGTTTTTACAAACAGATAACAATGATTCTACAACTGTGTGAGGACCATGTCATGACAAGACAATGGATGGACTGACAAACATTTTTATAGAAATGAAAAGTTCCCTTAACTGATTTGTGTACTTAAAGAGTAATATAGATATTTTTCTACACTAACTGTTATGGATAGTTTCTACTTAATTCATTCTATTTATATAGAAAGCCATACAGGAAGCATATGCACTAAACACTTCAGGCTCCTCATAATATCAACATAATTCATTAAGGAAACAGTAATGAAAATTTTCTTTCCTTGCGTGTGTAATCTCAATAAATGACCAATGAAGTAGATTATTATGCATGTATAACACAAAAGATACTACAATTTTACAAGTAAATCTGAATATCAGTAGTTGTGTTGGAATCATGCAATACAGGCAGTGTTATCCAAGACACCTATATACGTTGTGTAATACATAAATGAGTCCTGACCAATCTACCAAACAGTATTCATATCGATGCACTTTACTACGGTGTACAACAGGATGTCAAGCTAGTGAATATGATTATAATCAAAGAAATAAATCAAATGTATAGGTATGTACATCAACATGATATAAAAACACTAATGGTATATATATAGATATGGGGACAATTAAATGGGACATATAACCTACAAATGCATCATTTAAAGCAGCAGCAGAACGACAAGCTGCTCATTGATATGTTTCTAAACCTCACAGCAAGTGTACAAACGTGTATTTAAGTGAACCCAATATAAAAATATATACTATCTTATTTCAGCACAAGAATTCAACAATGTTAAAATATTTGCATAATTAGCAAGCATATAACGAGGTTTCATTTACACCCATATCTCATTAGTCTTTCAAATCCATCCCTCACACAACAGTATGATTGAAACTGATCTTCCTACAATTGTGAAATACATGTTGTTCAATATTTTCCGTAATATTATGTGAACTTTGTGGAATTTGATAGTTGGAATCCTTCATTGAAGTCTTTTGGTCCCATGGCAAAACCTAATTAATGAATTTTCAAAAAAAAAACAAAAACAAAAACAAACAATGCTTCTACATCTTCATAATTATTTCCTGTGAAAGTAATTAACATTATACTGCAGAATATTTTGAATATAATGCTACTTTTATTTTGAATACTGTTGATTGGGTAATATATACTCAGAGGTTATAAATGCATGTCCAGTGACCTGATCTTGTATCTTTAGAACACATTTCAGTAGGACATTTCTAAAGACTATACCCCTCAATAGTGTGCCCTTATATCAAAATTCAGTCATATAATTAGAACCATCTCTCTAAAATATTCTTGCCATTAAGATTATGATGTTTATTCATCTTCTCAATCATAATCACTGAAAAACAATATGTTTATCTAGTGTACCATTGCATAGGTCTATATTTAGTTGACATGTTAACCTTCCCAAAAGGGACAATTCAATACCATAGTCTTGTATCAGGTTCTGATAAAGATCATCTTGAGATGACTAATACAGTGTGAGGTATATACTTTGTAAAGTGAGAGATTGCCAATTCAGATATCTGGATCAAATTTATTCAGACAAATAAATTATATTTCTGAGAAATTAAATATATGTATTTGTGAATAGCAAATTACATGCTTTACTGACATATTTTTCCCCAGAACATTCTGATTTTCTGGCTGGTTCTACAGCACAACTTATTCTAGAATTTCTAGAATGTTTCCTGTCAATCACAAATCCTATAGCCACTAGTCCCTGAATGCTATATCTCAATGGCCTGTCCTTCAATGTAAGCTGTCAATGGTCAGTCTTAAAATGTTACCTGTCAGTGGCCAATCTAGAACATGTCAGGTGGCCTGTCCTAGAATAAAATCTATCAGTTGCCTGTCGTAGACAATTTGACAATTTCATCTAAATGCATTTAAACATAAGGTTTCTGCTAAATACAAGAGGTATATAGGGCCTGTATCACCCATCTGATTTAGTATACTGAAATTGCTTCATATAAACTAAATGAATAGCATTTCAAAGATTTATACCTATTTCCCCATTGTATCCTGCCCCTCCCATCTCAGCGAGCTAAAACTAATTCATATGAAACTGATTCCCCTTTACCAAGAATACTTTAGACCAAATTTGTGAGAGAATGCAGACATTCTTACAATAAAAAAAGGAATTTAAAAAAAATTCACTTTATTTCCGTTATTGGGCCCTTCCTCTCTTGACCCAGGTGCCCCAAGACCCATCATGTGTACAAAATTGCTTACCTTTCCCCAAAGATGTTTCAATCTAAACTGATACAAAATTAATGCACTGGTAAAAACCAGAAAAGATTTTCAATAATTTCCTCAAACTCTTGTTCCCCAGTTAGGCCCCATCCCTAACATCCAATTCCCCAGTTAGGCCCCATCCCTAACATCCAATTCCCCAGTTAGGCCCCATCCCTAACATCCAAGTGTGTTGAGACCCAAAAATTGGGACAAAGGATTTTGAAGAATTTGCCATATTTCCTCATTTTGGGCTCTGCCCCTCAGGCCTCAGGAGGTCTAGACCCACCATTTATACAAACTTTGTTCAAGTTCCCCCAAGGATGCTTCTGACCAACATCAGATAAAATTCCTTCAGTCATATCCTATGGGCCTGTTGAACTAACTCACCAAGTCTATTCAACATATGTATATGAGTGAGAGGTACCAAATTAGTCGCAACTGTAGCCTAGACCTTACAGCCCTGAAACTCAAACTTGTATGAGGTGATGTTGAATTTGAATAAGTATAGCTTTATCAAAATTCCTGAAGAAATGAAAATGATACAGAGATGAGGATGACTTGGAATGTGAGAGGACAGTAAAGAGATGAGAGTGACTTGGAATGTGAGAGGACAGGACAGACACATGTAACTACATAGGTTCTCTATAAAATGGCAAAGAATAACACTATACCTCCACTCTGCATAACTATACAGTATATACTTCTCCATTAATCAACTTAAATCCAATGTTATGCTGGGATAAATTACCATCTTAATAGTTGTGACAAAGGATATCCTTACACTTCAGTAACTCCACCAATGAAATGTATGTATGTACAGTCATTACCATAACAGTTTCTCATATGCCTTACACCCAGTATGATAAATAAATAAGTTCAAATTATTATTTACAGCCAAAACAAAACCCCTATTACCATATAGAAAAAAGTGTACAAATGCATTAGAGATATATTTAGAATCAATAATCGAACAAATAAAGGTTTTGAAGAAAGGGCTGAGGATCTAAAGCCTAAAATACAACAGATATATTACAAAGATATTTGAGCAAAGCAATACAAGATATATTTGAGTGAACACAGGACTTACAAATAAGAGAGACCATAACCATCTTCACAACAATGCCTCCAGATCTTTTTGTTTCTATGCACCAGTAAAAAGACACCAAAGACACTTACAAATAAATTATTCTGGGCATTTGTTTGATATCTGGAAAACTCTGTAACGACTGAAGTAAACAAAGTAACACCACAGGGAAGTGATAGCTCAACTGATAGAGTATACTACAAACTACAACCTAAGGTGAAGATCAATGTGTGAAGTTTGATGGTCCCTACTCATTAGGGGTGAGAGGAGTTGCTTCAACCTAAGGTGGAGATCAATGTGTGAAGTTTGATGGTCCCTACTTATTAGGGGTAAGAGGGGTTGCTTCAACCTAAGGTGGAGATCAATGTGTGAAGTTTGATGGTCCCTACTCATTAGGGGTGAGAGGGGTTGCTTCAACCTAAGGTGAAGATCAATGTGTGAAGTTTGATGGTCCCTACTCATTAGGGGTGGGAGGGGTTGCTACAACCTGAGGTGGAGATCAATGTGTGAAGTTTGATGGTCCCTACTCATTAGGGGTGGGAGGGGTTGCTACAACCTGAGGTGGAGATCAATGTGTGAAGTTTGATGGTCCCTACTTATTAGGGGTAAGAGGGGTTGCTTCAACCTAAGGTGAAGATCAATGTGTGAAGTTTGATGGTCCCTACTTATTAGGGGTGAGAGGGGTTGCTTCAACCTAAGGTGAAGATCAATGTGTGAAGTTTGATGGTCCCTACTCATTAGGGGTGAGAGGGGTTCCTTCAACCTAAGGTGAAGATCAATGTGTGAAGTTTGATGGTCCCTACTCATTAGGGGTGAGAGGGGTTGCTTCATGGAAATCAATGTGTGAAGTTTGGTCCCTATGAGAGGTGAGAGGGGTTCCTTCAACCTAAGGTGAAGATCAATGTGTGAAGTTTGATGGTCCCTACTCATTAGGGGTGAGAGGGGTTGCTTCAACCTAAGGTGGAAATCAATGTGTGAAGTTTGATAGTCCCTATGTATTAGAGGTGAGAGGGGTTGCTTCAACCTAAGGTGAAGATCAATGTGTGAAGTTTGATGGTCCCTACTCATTAGGGGTGAGAGGGGTTGCTTCAACCTAAGGTAAAGATCAATGTGTAAAGTCTGATGGTCCCTACTCATTAGGGGTGAGAGGGGTTGCTTCAGAGAGCGAAGATCACTAACAATTATGACCTGGTTGTGTTCTTGTCCTTGACATCTCTCTCCAATTATGTGGACAGCATGTAATGTGCCCCCTTTATGTTGGTCACATGTTGTTAAGTGTGATGGCCACCACCTTTCTACAATGAGATCCTGCCTATAAATGACTGGATGTTCAAGGGGAAATAAACCAGGCAAACAAACCAATCCCCACATTGATAAAAAAATCCATTAATTCACAAACTGTAACATTCATCACATCAGATTTCCTTTCTTATACAGGAAAGTGTGTTCAAAGTGTCTCTCACCACAGTAATGACAAAAATTGGAACTAAATTACAATGTTATCTAAAAATACAAAAGAATATAAAATGGGTGCCCTTGCAAACATTCCACAGGTCACAGAAGCAATAGAAAATGGGGTGTCCTTAATTCAACACTGGAATGCATTTCATGTACTATTAATTCAATTTATAAGCTGATTGCTTTAAAATACATTTCTGATTTGTGTGATATCCTTAAATAATGTATAAAAGTTAAAAAAATTGGGGGAATGTTGGAATCTTCAATACAGCTATGGTAAGTTAACAGTAGTATATGTTGAGTTATCTCCCCTATTTCTGTGATCCATAATATTACAAACACAGCCTTTCAGGCACATCATTTGTTATGAATACTCACTTATGTATTACTTCTTTTACGCAATGACATCCACTCCCTCAATACCTTACTGTGCACACAGTCAGACATATCACAACTATTAGGCCTTGTGGTCTCCACATCACACAAGTGGTGTACCTTACATTTTGTAACATATTGCACATCACAATACATATCAATGTTTTACTTCAACAAGTGAATTGTAACAAAATCCATAACCATCTTCCATTTTTTCTTTAGATTCTACTGTAATGATAAACATATGAATTTTAAACCTATAGGCACAGGCAAGAAGTGTTGTATAAGTTAGTTTAGTATTGTTGTGAATCATCATTAAACCGTTTATCTTCATAACATTGAATTTTTCTACAACTCTTACCACAAAATGAAACAAAATGACTAGAATTATATACTAGAGATAGAAAGGTTTCAGTGACTAGCTACACCACCAGTAATAGATTTAAAAACACAAGAGTTGTTTGAGAAAATCATAGCTTGCCTGTTGATGACATTCATATTACTGCTTGAACTAATAATTAACTATCTCCTGACTTTTACAATCCAGTTACACTTTTTACCACCAAAAACTCCAAAACAGAAATTTAATCCCTTTTGGGCCTCATAAATATGCAAAATATTGTTAAATACTCATATCAATACCTCAGTTATCTAATAATGAACACCTCTTGATACTGATGATCCAGTACTCATAGAAAAAAAAATTCCTGAAAAACTTTTCAACATTAATCATATTTATGTTGTATGATTTGCAGCTCTCACTTATGCTTTTGTTACATGACCACCATGGCATACAATAAATGTAGTCATGTAATATTTAAGTATTACTTCCAAGCATTAATTAATTATGACATCACATATGTAGAATGTTTTAACAATGAGAGACAATAGGAGTTTTATTTATTTAAAAGGTTTTACGTCTATTATTCTTTCAACAGATGAGATTGAGAGGAAAAACACCCTGTTTATATATGCTGACGTTATTATTTTATGACACATAATAAGGTTGTTTATATAGGCATTCATATCTGGTTTAATCTTCAAAATTTTCAATCTTTTGTCATCTAACATGGCATTTATGTATCAAGTTCTAAAGTAAACTTTTGTTAAATAAAGATATGTGGAGTAATGAAAAATTAACATTTGATTGAAAATAAACAAAATGTGCTTTGTAATAATACAACCACCAGTAGCCTGCCTGTAATCACTAAACAAAAATGTTGGCAGGATGTTTCACTCGACACATATTTTTGTACAGCGAAAAATAAGAAAAACATGTAAATTAATATTGTGTTTCGTGTTTACAGTGTAGGCATTGCTGAGAGTTATTTATAGATGGAGTGGAGTAAGAAGCACATAATTCCTGAAAGGAATAACAAATTTAATATTCAATTAAGAGCTAAGTCAGAGTAATAATCAACCCCAATACATACCACACATGTATATATATATATATCATTGTATATTTAGTTAAAGACATTGTAATTAAACAATAGTGACCTAAGGGTCATGAAGAATTTAATACTATATGCTGTATAAATTAACTACTGTAGAATTTAGGGGCACGAGATGGCAGGTTCCTGTACAGAAATACCTGTACAAATATAGAAATATCTATAGACACTTGTAGCATGCCACATATCCAAAACTGGGGTGGTGCCTCTCGTAGAATAAAGTAGCCAGTCTTAAATATGTCTCCACAAGTCCAGAACCCTACCATCTTCTTACTGAAAAAACAATGAGAATAAATGTGTTAATTCCAGTTAAATCACGTTCTTGTGATACAATACATAATGATCAAAACATCAAGACTAATATTAGAAATTCTTGTTCAACCCTTACTGATGAACGGAAAAAGATGGCCTGAAGATAATCAAAATCCCTCAAGAAATGAAACCACTAGAATGCCGACAAGGAGTTCTAAAAATTGTAGCTGGTAAGTGACCTTGACCCTTCAACGAGGAAACTTGAACTCATCCAAGATATTATAGTTCTTGATGACTGTGTGAAATCTTATCAAAATTTGTTGATAAAATCTCAATATCGTATCTACTTTATTACCAGGGGAAGATAAGGTGATAAAATCTCAATATCGTATCTACTTTATTACCAGGGGAAGATAAGGTGATAAAATCTCAATATCGTATCTACTTTATTACCAGGGGAAGATAAGGTGATAAAATCTCAATATCGTATCTACTTTATTACCAGGGGAAGATAAGGTGATAAAATCTCAATATCGTATCTACTTTATTACCAGGGGAAGATAAGGTGATAAAATCTCAATATCGTATCTACTTTATTACCAGGGGAAGATAAGGTGATAAAATCTCAAGATAATCAGAAAATTAACAAGATCAGAACTTTCTAAAGTACATATTAGAATTCATTTGCTTTTATTAAAAATATTTAACATTTTCTTAAAAGAAATATAAGTCCTTTCCTCGATCCTTTCCAATATTCAAAAGGGCATGCCACTTGTTTGAAAGTATTTTTGCTGTTACTGACAAATCTATCAACATCAGGAATTTACAACAGATTAAATACTTTGATGACCAAATTATATGCAAACAAAATAAAAGATGTCATACGGAATTTTGGGATATGGGGGGATTCTTTAAAACAAAAATTATTGAACATGTGTGCTGAAACAAGGGAAATAACTCCTATAGATATAGGCATCAAATCTACTCAAGAAAATTCTATTCCTAATTCTGTAATAAGCTTTATCAAAATCTTTCATATTTGTCAAGTGACCTTCAGTGTTTCAACGATCTATCATTTTTTTCTGCTATAATCTACAAAAAAGTCACTTGGAGCAAAACCACTAAATTGGTTGATGATTATTGATCTGTAAATAGCAGAAGTGGCATTGACCTTGACATTGGCACAATTTCTTAAATTTGATATCAACAAAAGTGATCTAGGCCTTGACACTATGATCTTACCTGAGATTTTTTATAGACCTACCTCATTCCTTGTGTGGACTTGTTTTTGAAATTCCTGTAAAACTGTGGTGCTCCTAATAAGGCTTCTGCGAACACAGCTAAAAATCCTATAAGTTCTACATAGATAATGTTGTTTAGGAGAAGAAAGGTCAGCAGTGCCATTACAGCAGTAAACAGTGAGATAAACTGGATGTAACTCTTGAAATCTGTCCACTGCCAAAAGTGACCACGGTCAAAATCTACAAAACATAAAATCATTATTTAATTATGATCATTAAGCAGCGGACAGGTTGTAAGTATAGTTTACACCAATCATAAACTGGTTTTGATATGTAGGTCAGCATAATCATATAAGAAATTAAGTGAAATATTCATTAAACATCAGTTAATAAATAATATTGAAATAACATGCATCTTTTGCATTTATTTCATATTTTAATAAGCTTGTATTATCTTTTTTACAATCTTATCTCTAAGTTTTGCTTTCAATTATTAAAACTTTCTTGTATATGTACAATGTACATTATTTCTCTAAAACAAGGAAGCAGTTCATTGTGTATGACAAAACTTTGAATGACAGCACTTGTCATCTAATGTTCATTAATTCAAAATTTCAAACTTGACTGAAATAAACCTATTTACCATGTGACCTCTGTAACATCACAAGATTTATAATCATTATTATTATTTCTATGAATGCTTATTATGAGAAAACTTGCATCTCTGGTTTTCACATGCATTTCTACATGCACCTTAAATAATATCACTGCATACTAACTTCTTGATAAATATGATTAAGCTCTGCACTGTATTAACTTTAATGTTTCACAAACATTTTAACAAGCCACACACATCTATTGACCTTGTTTAAGAATAGCTTTGTCCAAGACGAAGAGGAATGGGTTTCAAATTTTTGAGCTTTTTGTTAAATGAGATAATATTAACATGCTGTTGAAAAAATATCATCTGTTTTGTTTGGTTTTTTTTTATGTTACAATGAAGAGTGTATCAGTATTATCTAAAAGATAAAGCTCATGTACTTGAAAGCTGTTGTAATTGACAAACAAGGTAAAACGATATAACAACACAGATGAATCCATCACAAAACACAACCAATGTCATCTGGGGTTCATGCTTGGATTGGTGGCAGGTGTACATATGTAAATTCAGTTTCTGTAAAACATCATGCTAAAATATCAACATAACTTATCATGCAAGGACCTGGTTTCTGTTACCTGTTTACAAGTTGTTATGAATATGGATAACAGAAGGATTCTAACGTCTGAATCAATGACTGCACAGACAAAAATATATATCATGGACAGATATCTCATTAAACCATTCAAAGTACATGTAGTAAACTGGGAACATTCTGAAATCTAAGGAATTCTGGGTATCACACTTTGGCATGTATTTATATCATATTAACTTTGCCAAAATTCTCTTTCAGAAAACATGTTTTTCGTGCAATATATCGGTACCAAATAGGTATGCACTCCCATGCATCAAAATAGCAGCTAGAATTTTCCAATGTGTTGCTTTTTATCTAATGTTATCTACAACTGTTACTGAGTAATGTACTGGATATTAAATCTCTGACACATTTCGTCATCACAAAAAGGCAAGAGACCCATGGGTCTTAATGGTCATCAAACTGTATGGACATCTAAATACTGCAATCGGCAGCCATATTAGATATCAGACCTACCAAAGAAACAAACAATACTTGGTCTGAACACCAGAGGATCATTTCAGACAAGTTGCATCTGAATTCTGCTAGTTGAACTTTATGTGAAGTTTAAAGCAGGTTTGTTCCTGAAAACCATGATTGTAGGATCATGATACAAAACAGCTCGGTCAAAGTTTGCAGGGGATAAAATAAAAACTCTCTATGTTTGATTCTTTTCCATTGCCACAAAGTTTCAGCTCAGTGGAATCAGTGGAAGAAGCTAAAAATGTGTTTTTTGAGATTGTAGCCATATTGGGTTTCAAATATAGGGACAGACTGTAGAAATAATAACACGTGGTCAGAATCACCTCGGGACTATTTACCAACTTTGAATTCAAAATGTGAATCAGAAAATACCTATAAATGTCATTTGAATTTATTTTTTTTACAGGTTGAACTATTTCTCAACATTAGGTCTACAATTAATGTTTCAATATACACTGTATACAAAATAAAATTAATTTTACTACCCTGATGCCCAATAAAATACCCAAGACTGCTTAGATTAGATTAGGTTTTTAAAAAAGTGGCATCTACAAAATAAGACAAAAGAAAATAAAATTACAGAAAAACTTAAAATAAACAACACCAAGCTGAAAAACACAACATCAATATTTAGTAATGTTGATGAGTTAACACTAGCACTACTAAGGAGTCTTCAGGAAAGGGATCTGTGTAACAGGCAGTCACAACTCATCACAATCTCTGTCAGTCAGGACTCAATCATACCTCAGTTGACTGAGTCAAGAGTCAACACAATCATATCGCCGCCTGAATCAGGACTTATCAACCCAAGTCAGGATTCAAATTGATCAAAACTTAGCCTGAGTCAAGACTCAGTTATATCTCAGACTGAACTTGGACTCAATCATAACAAAGTATGAGTCAGAACTAATTCAAACCTCAATCTTGGTCGGGACTCAACACAATCATATTTAAATCTGAGTCAGGATTCAACACAAACATGTCTCAAAAAAAGTCAGGCCTATCACAGCCATATCTAAGTCTGAGTCAGGATTTAACACAATTATATCTCAGACCAAGTCAGGAAACATCACAGTCATATCTAAGTCTGAGTCAGGGTTCAACACAATTATATCTCAGACCAAGTCAGGAAACATCACAGTCATATCTATATCAGGGTTCAACACAATTATATCTCAGACCAAGTCAGGACTCATCACAGTCATATCTAAGTCTGAGTCAGGGTTCAACACAATTATATCTCAGACCAAGTCAGGACACATCACAGTCATATCTAAGTCTGAGTCAGGGTTCAACACAATTATATCTCAGACCAAGTCAGGACTCATCACAGTCATATCTAAGTCTGAGTCAGGGTTCAACACAATTATATCTCAGACCAAGTCAGGACTCATCACAGTCATATCTAAATCTGAGTCAGGCTTCAACACAATTATATCTCAGACCAAGTAGAGACTCATCAAAATCATAACTCAGTCTGAGTCAGTACTTGATAAAGACGCAATCAAATCTCATTTTGAGTCAGGGCTCAAGACAATTATAGCTCAGCCCACGTCAGCACAATCAAACCTGTGGATCAGAACGCAAGTATATCATATCTAAATTTAGTCATACCTCAACCATATTTTATTATACGTGAGGATGTCACGATACCCTACCGTAGCTGAAATCAGGACTCAATTATGTCCTACCCATAGTCAGAACTCAATTATAATGCCTCATCCTAAACAGGACTCAATCATATCCTACCCTTCAGAACTCAATTATAATGTCTCATCCTAAACAGGACTCAATCATATCCTACCCTTCAGAACTCAATTATAATGTCTCATCCTAAACTGGATTCAATCATATCTTACCCTTCAGAACTCAATTATAATGTCTCATCCTAAACTGGATTCAATCATATCTTACCCTTCAGAACTCAATTATAATGTCTCATCCTAAACTGGATTCAATCATATCTTACCCTTCAGAACTCAATTATAATGTCTCATCCTAAACAGGATTCAATCATATCTTACCCTTCAGAACTCAATTATAATGTCTCATCCTAAACAGGACTCAATCATATTTTACCCTTCGGAACTCAATTATAATGCGTCATCCTAAACAGGACTCAATCATATCTTACCCGAAGTCATGACTCAATTATAACTAACATTGAGTATGTTTGGACATATTCTTACTTTCCTTTGAGTCAGGACTCAATAAAACCTTATTTTAACCCAAATTAAGATGCTTAAAAAAATGCCTGGTATATCTAAATATCAGTTAAACACATGTTTTATAATACCGTTTTATAGACTTCTCAATAAACATTTTTTTACTTGTCATATACCAGTTATTTTATGTATGGAAATATAAGTTAGCAGTGTTCAGTCAGTGTATTTCAGTGTCATGGTAGGTTTGAATTTATATCAAAGCTACAAAATGTAGCTCAGCAAGTGAAAATTTCATACCAAATCCATTACTTTACTTTTCCAGAATTAACTTACAACTCAGATAGAACAATATTTAGTGATCATTTTGTGTGAGGTTAATATTGGCTCTCAAAGTTGAAACAGGTTTCATCTCAAAGTCAACAAATTAGTAATGATATGAAATTGAATTTACGACAAATAAATTATTGCATCTACCTATACAATATCAAGGCTGTAAAAAATATGAAATATTAGGAAACAAAACTCCCATCAACTTAAAACAGGTCAACACTTAAAAACAATCATCTCTCTCACAGTGCCAAAAACTAACTGTGTTTGTATTAAGAAGCAGAAAGATGGAGGTTACAGTCAGTGCATATAAAAGATGGATGATAAAAAACTATTGGCTACATACCAAGAAAGGTAGACCTGCCAACAGTCTTCCCCAAGTTGGGGTATGACCGGGAGGTATCTGTGTCGCCATTTTGGTGAAGATGATTCTGAGAATCTGTCACGAACATAGCAAACAACAGACTGACAATGAGTTAAAAGGGGATGTATGTTATTAATAGTGTGCTGATGAGGTAGTTAAAAGATTACAGGTGGAAATGCCATTATCAGTGAAAAATATTAGTTTGCTGGCGATGTGGGACTGATTAATTGTCACAGTCTAGAGCCACTTTAGAAAATGATAATTAAGCAAGTACACATTGATGTCTTTATCTTCCTCTGTTATGTTATAAATTTTCCCTTGCAAAAAACTTCCAACATTTTGATGCTGACAGAGAGCTCTTGGAGGTTGCAATGACATTATTTCAACTTCAGTCTCATGTACATTAACAGTTTACATTTTGACAACAAAGTAAACATGACTGCATGCTTCATTTTCACAAAAAAAATTAAAAAAAAAAATAACAGTGAAGTTTTTAGTAAACCTTGCTGTTGATTCCAAAAATATCACTTCATATCTGTCCTCGGCTTATTTTGATATTCATAGTTAAAGCTATTATTAGCAGAAGTATTCAAATTAAACATGTGAGAAAAAGAAAACAATTTTGAATACCATTACTAGTATACCTTCACGTAAATATCTTTCAGGTACAAGTTAAAAGTTTATACATGAAAACAATAAAAAGACATTAAATACCTGTAGATACAAAACTGTAAATACCATATACAAGGTGTAAATATATTAAAACACCATATTCAATGACCTGATATACAATACAACAAACAGGAAATAGTAAATATCATACAGGAAGGAAACAGCAAATAGGAAGTACAACAGAACAGTAGAAAACTCATATTGGAAGACAAAGTCAGATTTTCTTATAGAACACAATTTACCTGTCTCAACCACAACCAAAGACAATGTCTACCTGATTCTGATAGGTGATTAATTGGTTTGTTTACTTTTTTATCCAAAGTTAAATAATCATTGACATTTTGATCAACTAGAGCTGATGTAGAATTTCAGACATCCAAAAATCTAATAACCTCCTCCAGAACCGTGCAAGCAAAAGTTCCAATACCACTAACACATCCATTCATACATCAATCATCAATGTAATCATAGTACAAAAAAAGTGATATATTTTGCTATCTTAACCACAACACTCATACTGAAGTATTGGGCATCTTCATAACTACATTATTGACATTTACAATGAAATAATATAGATATATGAATTTCAGGGATGGGAAACACTCCCATCATATATACCATAAACTATTATCAATCATGAAGATGCACACTACATGGGCTTATGCCTAAATATTGAGAGGCTTCATTTTTTGGGGTTTTTTTTTGGCAATAAGCTCTTACAACTTATCTCCTGATACTAATTAAACACCTGGTACAGTACTTCTTCATTTACAGAGAAAATGAAATATTGTGACAATTAACACCTGGATTCAAACTCACTAAAAACCAATTAAGGACAGAAACCTGGCACAATTCCATGAAGTACTTTTATACACCAGCTTGGAGTCTATGAATGTCAGAATTCCATCCCTATAAAAAGTAAGGAAAATAAGCAGCACTCAAATGGGTTGGCATTCAAATGATAATTGTGGAAAGAAATTGCCATTTTCACAAACATTTTGCACACGGATCGAAAGGTCTGTACCTTATCTACTATATCTTCAAATGGGACATGTCTCTTAATACCAATACACTCACAAAATGTACATTTTCCCAGCCTCAATCTATTTAAGCTTTTGTTTGTGTTAGCCATGCCTCCTCTAGTCACTTGCCCATAGCCTCACCACTTCTTGCGCATGTGTAAACGTTCAGACAATGCTGTAAACAATTACAGAGGATGGAGCCCTATATGAAGACTATGACTAGGAAATAATCCACTTACAATTTAAGAACAACAAATGTTGCCTTGGACCATTCCTTTTCATAAGTTAAATAAAGCTGGAAGTGTGTGTTTATACTTGTCTAGCTTATTTCAGTAATGATACACATCATAGCTATGTGGGAAATACCTTGAGTATAGTAGAATCTTGTTAAGTCACATGGTTGACTTCCTGCCCTAATTTCCATCAAAATATGTGTTCATTAACAAAAAGAATCTATATAAATGTTTTCACTGAACATTAGAATATGACATTGGTATCAGCTTGTAGATGAAGAAATGACCATTTGATTCATGTGCAATACGCATGTAAAAATGATGATTTCATTCAAAAGTTATCAAATCAATGCCAACATGTGCATGTTCTGCTTATTTCCCTCAATCTTTTACAGCGACAAAGTTCTAATGTTCATCAATCCAAGTTGATACATAAAAGTTGTGAGAACATCAGAATAATTTGGACTAGACTTAGCACTACTCACCAGCACCAAAACTATCATCTCATATATTTTTATAAAATAATCCATATTACATTAAAGTATTATTTACATTCAAAAGACTCATGAAAAGAAAAAAAAAATTTCCTCATATCAATGTGTCCAGTAGTTAAATGACACTAATAAATTTTTCTGTCTAAGATTGTACAAAAGACAAGTTAACAGTGCACTTTAATACACATTTAGAGTTTAAACACTTCAATGTATATTGTACCTCAAAGTAATACTACTATAACCACACTATATCTGTAATACAGGTAAACAAAACAGAGATTTTTGTTTCATATAAAGAATAAATATTATAAATGTCACATCATAAACATTTTGAAAGTTTACGGAGGATAGATGAAGATTAAATGATAGTAAAAGCAAGTGTTTTTGCTACACAAAATGCTAGAATATGTCAATAAGTAGAAAATCTCAATAGAAAACATGTGTGATCGTAGTGTGTGCTGCAGTAGTTCAGAGTGCCAGTATATATGACCTGAGAGATATGACCCATCCACCAAAATAGCATATCTAGTAGAATTTTACAAAATATCTCAGAAGTACTATGTATATTCCAGAATGAAAATTCTACCCTTTAGTAGTATTAATGATATATAGAGTATAACTGAAATAAGAGTGCTCAATGTTATAGACAGATGCATGGTGTTAGAAATCCTTACCAGTGAATTTGTGTGGTTTTGATGCCACTATTTCTGATTTGTTTTTCATCTGTACACACAGCTTAACCATCATCAACATTGTAAACACCATTATGATACTTTGAGCAAGAAGTGGTAACTCAAAGTGCTTTCCAAACCTAAAAGTAAAGATATTCATGAAAATTATGAAACAAATTTAAATACAAGATTTCCTTCTCATCTATATTTGGAACTTCATTGTTATTTTGTTTTCCAATTATAAACAACTAAACTGTCTATATTTCTCCATTTTGCTATAATTTGTTTGTCAAAGTCTCATTTCTAGTCACAGAAATACAGCACACATGCAATTTCAAGCATGTTGTTTTTTGCTTCTGGATTATAATTGAAAATGATGTTTTAGAATATTAACCTATTCAATACCTAAGGAGGACAAAAACTACTGTATTGTGTTCCTAAATGTCAACCTTTTGTGAACCTTGGGGGTCAAAACTCAACAAACTTAAAAAGGACCACATTTCTGTATAAAGTTTAGGCAGTTGTAAGCTGAATGCTTCAGTGAAACTTGTATGAGATAGGCCCAAAATATTGTAGGATAAAGCTACATATCAAAACTTGTACTCTATTCTTAATGATGCAAGGCAGTGAACATACTGAATACAGTCTGCATGTAAATTCTCATATATCATTATTTTGCACTAAAACAATGTGTCAAATTATCATTAAATGAACAAGAATATTCAGAACAATTTGAGTTCTTGTTCATAAATGTTCTTCAATACATTCTATAATATGAATCCCCACAACATAAAACAGAAATATTGTGTATTTATATTTAGCAAATCTGACAAAGGTAAATTCAAAATTTAGTCTTAGAGGGCATTAAAATACACTTGAAATTTTCATAAATTGAAATGTGATACAAACCAGAACATGATCCTGAGTATATTGGCTATAAGCAAGGTGAGACAGACAAATGTGGAGAACCCCTCTGTGTTACCACTTCTCCTGATATCTCGGTATTGTGGAATAAACGGCACCACTCCACCAAACACCATGGCAGCTGCCGCCCCCCAGTTGATAATACCCATAACTGATAACTCAGGTAACATTCCTGACAGATGATTTGGCACATCAGCTAACATCGCCTCAAGTTGAGCAGCTACAGGGGAGTCTGATGATGATATCATATCCCTCAAATCCTGGCCTTCCTATAGTAACAGTGTAGATATTGTTGTCACCCTTTCAAGTAATTTGTCATTCTTGCAAAATCTGTAAAGAAAAAAGCACAATCTAATACCTTGTTACAAAACAAGTAACTTATATCAGTGAATAACAATCATCTAGAAACATGTTTTAGCTTATAATTTAGTGGCAATCAAATATAATGTTGAACTGTTTTCAGAGATGAAACATAACAATTACAAAGAGTGTATATGTATAATGAATTTGAACATTTTATAATATTCAAAATTCAGAATTTGATTGTTGCGTAGCTTGACATACAATACTGAATAACAATTAGCAAGATACATGCTGATTTCCGGCATTTTGATATGCTGCTGAAATGTTTTCAGAGATGAAACATATTATAACTTATTTGAAGCTTTTACAGCATTCAAAATTCAGATTTTTATTGTTTTGCAGCTTGATATACAATATTTTACATTCAGAATGTGAATGTTGTGCATCTCGACAGTTTTCAATGAGATGTGTCTATCACCTTTCTAATAATGATATTGAAGTCAATCTGCTAAGGACCACAAGTCCACATGACACCTTACTACATCATCTATGTAAAATTGTTTGGGATCTCGGACACAAAGATACCCAAAACTTCAAAACCTGCAGGCTTTTTATGTTAAAAACAGTTCATACATGTATGATCAAACAGGTCACCAAATTCACATGATCAATAATTAATCTATTTCTCAGCTTTATTTAGAGAAAAAATGTGATCATCTCCACCTCTTAATTAAGTACAGCCTCTACATTATAAGGTTAAGCAATGATATGACGAATACATGTAGTTCTAATTTACTGTAGTCTGTACTTTATTTGTTGATGTTTTTGTTAGTATTTTACTTTGAAGTTCGTGTACTTGGAAATTTTCAGTATCTAACATTAGTTTCAGGTGTCCAATCTACATATATGAACAATTCCACATCTACATAAAATAAGTTACCATAAATAGAAACCTCTTAACAATACATAATAGTGATTTTGGACACAGATATTTGAGTTTTGGACTTATGCTTTTCCTGTGGGACTCATCCATATATAGAAATGTGCAAGTTTTCATAATTAATGGGACTCATCAACACTTAGAATTTTTAAAATGTCGCTCTGGGCTTTCCAATGCGAACGATTTTTAAAAAAAAGAGTACAAACACCATTCATATCTTTACTGGGAAAGCCTTACCCTCGCTTTTCTTTTATATGGTTGCCCAACTTGGAATGTCTTTAGTTTGTTTTTGTATTTTTGTCTTACTCTTTCAATCTGTTCTCAATTACAAATAAACTTTATTTTTTCTACCATCTATATCTCTCCTTTTTTCCTTTGATCTTCCAATGCAACATCTTCATGTTCTTACTCCCTATTTAAGATATCTATTTTTTCTAAAAAAAAAATTTTTTTTTAAATGAAAGAATTGTAATTGTATGTTGAGTGAAATTAGTTTTGTTTATATTTAATGTATTGTTTTAAAAATTCTTTGGAAAAAAAATAAATGTATAACATGATATGGATTTCTTCCTATATGTACCATATTGTATACTTTATGTACCTTTTAAATAACTCATGTTAGATGTCCATTATTATCAAAAAGTGATGATATTTATGTCTGATATACAGTGATATATTATGTATACAGTATGTAATTTTCATAACTCATAAAGTCACATATCAGATTTCAAATTATGTATATTATACAGATGACATTCTTTTAAATTATTCTTAACTTTAGAAAATATCTAGGTTTTACTCCAGGAAATACAAATGTTAATTAACCGTTTGTTTTAGTATAGCGTTTTGTTACTACGGTGCACATGTGATACACGAAGAAACATGCTGCACTACTGACTACCTATATGCCGTATGAGTTGCGTAATACGTCAATCACGTTTGTCTGCAAACGTTTACAACAAGGAACTTACTGTTTATGTGCAAACATAAAGTTCCAGTATCCACATTGGTATTTAGGTTAGAGTCCATTATAACACATTTGTCGCTAAACATAGTCTGGTTATGTCATTTTGTATCTATTCTCTGCAAATGCTACAATCCAAAGCTATCATATGGTAAATTCAATTAGTTAAGCTTCGAAGACAATCTGTGAGCAGACTTGGAGAATCAACGTCCCAAATCAAAACTTTCATGAACAAGTTAGATGGATATCAATTTGTGATGCAAAATTGGCTTTGATGTAATGATTTTGGCTATACCTTAGCCTTCATGAGTACGATTCTGGAACAGAATATCCCACTGTTGTTATCTGCCGGTGTGTGTTCGTCTATTTGCTTAAATTCATCTTCCAGTCGTCGACAGTTTAAGAAGAGTTCCGAACTAGGGGAGGTTACTCTACTCATGGTTGATTTGTCTCCCATGTATTGAATCGTAACAACAGCAAATATCTAAAAAGATGCTTTATTTTACATTTAATATAAAGTAAATAATCAACAACACACACATACGAATATAAAGAATACGCAAAATTTAAACATTTCAACATAATTATATACAATTCCGAGTACATTAATTTGCTACTCTGTAGAATTGCAAGTAGGACTATGAATACATATAACTATAATCAGGAAAGTAATTTGGTCTTGGTCTCTCGTGCTGTGTTTTTGGTTTAGGACAGTTTCAAAGAAACACAAACTGCTGGCCATGTATACTTGTGAATATAAATATTGATTTAAAAATACCTAAATATATTAAATCAATGGAAAATACAAAAACAATCAATATATATGCCCTTCCAATCCCGTTTGGAGGAAGACACAAAATTAGCTGGAGACGAGTGTGCTTCGCAGCGAGTTCAACTTGGATTTGTGATATTTTTGTATGATTTTCTAAATGTGATTTGCTATTTTATGTAGCATATACACAGTGCCAATCTGGTGCAATGTAATGATACTGGATATGCGTTTTAGCTGTTTTCAAATACTTCCACAAAGTTGTGATTCGATGGTGGTAAGCATTATTTGTATAAACGATTTGTTTTTAAGCCACATTAAACACTGTTTTCCTGGTAACACGCACTGAAATAAAATAGTGCATTATATCGAAAGACAGGTGGATCAGTACTTCAAATGTCAATCGGAGGGCAAACATGTATAAAAGAGATATGTTAAAGTGAATGACACATAGTATGCTATATCATAGATAATATATCTCATTATATAAGATATCGTATAGAATATATAAAATATAATAGAAATCTCGTTTCTATATGGGATATCTCATGTAGAATGAGAGTTCGTGGCATGAAGTTACTTCTCTCCAAGAATCCTTTGGGGTGCTTGCGAATATGCACTCGATGGCGAAAGGAACACGCTACTTGACAGTTTCGAGAAATGTATTGAGAGACGAAACTATTCCTTATCCTCGGTAATGGTTCTTAAGGAAATGATATTGATAACATAAAACAATGGAAGTCAGCTCTTATATTATATAAATAATCATTGGATTATCTTATGAAAATGCTGAGATTAACAAAGTCTAGTTCCTATATAGTATATCATATCTAAGACGAGACTTCACATTACATAAAATACATTATATCTCAATATATTATATAAAATATCCCATACAGAAAATAATTGATGTATCTTATATAACATATCAGATACCTTATGTATCACAATTATATTGATATCTTGTACATCAACATGTACACTGAAATAAAATAGGGCCCGACATTGCTCCATGACAAAAAATAAGCTAGCTTGTTATAGACATCCCCACAAGGCTCGACATTACTGACTTTACTTTGGATTTTCTAAGTATGATATATCTGATTTCCGTACTAGTCTTTCTAAGTTTTCATCCTAATAATAAATGTTTCAACGTCATCACTTGATAATTGAGACGCCACAAGAAACAAACAGAACCGAGCAGAAATGGTAATTACATATTTCTTTTTTGTGAATTGTTAGTAGTATAATATTATGTGGTCGGAAGGCAATTAGGATCTTTGTTAAATGAGATCCTGTTTATATTGATTACTACCTGACCATGATATGATATGTTGTACACTGTACGTGGCTTACTGTTTTATCCTATATATTACGTGACCTTATATACTGTCACTTCGATTGGCCCGATTTAACTATATGTGATCATATCTTCGTGTGATTTAAGCTGTTGAAAATCTAACACAGAGAAGACAAATATATCGCCTATATGTATACACAAGGATCTGACACGAATTGTCTATTCACGGTCAATAAAATGGATAAGTGAAGGTTAAGGTTATGGTTAAGGGTATATAAAGTCCGAACGGTTCTGACTACCTATCAAAGATTTTATTTTGTCTTGGTCGCGGACGGGTAGCTAGAATTCCTCCCTTTATACAAAACACCAAATACTAGCGACCTCTGCATTCCTTTCGGTCTACTTTGGTTTACCTCGGTTGTATGTAACAGGCTAAGTAACGAGTCCTAGAAGGACGAAGCAGCTGTATGATACAATCTAAGTAACGAGTCCTAGAAGGACGAAGCAGCTGTATGATACAGTCTAACTGACGAGTAATAGGAGGACGAAACAGCTTTATGATAAGTCTAACTTACGAGTCGCAGAAGGACGAAGCAGCTGTTTGATACAGTCTAACTGACAAGTCGCAGAAGGACGAAGCAGCTGTATGTTACAGACAAAGTGACGAGTCCTAGAAGGACGAAACAGCTGTATGATACAGACTAAGTGACGAGTCCTAGAAGGACGAAACAGCTGTATGCTACAGACTAAGTGACGAGCCGCAGAAGGACGAAGCAGCTGTATGTTACAGACTAAGTGACGAGCCGCAGAAGGACGAAGCAGCTGTATTATTCAGTCAAATTCATTATTTGGGTATATTGTATCTAATTCTGAGTTTGTATTTAAATATGATATCTTTGTGAAATCCTTAAATGGTGACATGGTTTCTCACTCAGTCAAATCATACTGGTAACTTTCTAACAATCCTTACTGACAATGGTAGGCACTCTGTAGGTTTTCCACCGTGTCTTATATCAATGTTTAATAAAAAGACCAAAAGGACATTCTTTTTGTACACTATACTCCGTAAAGATAAACCAAAGCAATCTTTACCCTCCTGTCTCTGTCAAACTAACTTGTCTGTGTTTGACGTCTGGATAACAGCCGTGTCATTTGAAAATCGTGCCCACAGATGAGGGATCACTTCGGGACGCTCTTATAAATATATCATATTACAATTTCACATCCTGGACGTAGTAGCATGGCATCCCTTATACACATTATACCGACCACTTGCTATTTGGGTTTTGGAGGATCACATGAAATACTGAGTGACAAGCAAAGAGCTCGGAACACACTTTTAAAGACTGAATTGACATGGCTTTGAGAGAAAACTGATAGCTTTTCTCAACATGGCGGACGCTCAACCCAAAGCTAAATGTGAGGTAGAGTCGAGAGGGATTTAAGGAAGAAGGAAAGTCTTAGTTATAAGTACACCGTGAAGACCACTCATTGAGTCGCCTTGTTCGATCACTTACGTCATACCTGCATGTCACTACACATTTAGAGACTGATAAGTGTTATCTCACTCTAACGTTAAAGGTCAATTTTATATCGCAACTTTGAAAATCGAAAAATGCCAAATATGAACAAAAATGATTAATCATGACGAGACCGATTATGTATGTATGGAGCATCAGACCTTGAGTAATGAAGTCTTATCCAAGAATATCACACCCTAAAGATAGACGACCCGATATACTGTTGGTATAAAATCCGTAGTGACTGTTTCTGTATAGACTCCTACCATTGGAGTGACACAGGCTTAGGTAATGTGTCATGACTTGATGTCCACAAGTATAATCATAATGTGTTTCGTTTAAGGAAAATATCACTATTATTACCCGGTAAATATAATCGAACCCCAGCCTAATTGATAAATTGGATTTCCATAAGATGCCTATTTGTTGAATGTTTGCTACTTTCCTTATGAGCAGACCGGAACCTCAGATGAAGTTCGTAATCACTCTCCATCATGTAGTTCGGATATTGACACTTCAAAAGTCACGACAGTTTTGCTCTTTAAGTTCCTCGTTGCCTGATGTTGAAATGTCTTGTAGCTGTTGATAGCAACATGCTGAACTACATCCCACACTTTTTACCACTGCTTTATTAGTACAGCCATGCTAGCAGTTTTTTTCAGTAATGTATAAGTATAAGTTGTTAAGGTAAGTGGGGAAAAACCCCGAAATATTATGTAACCAACAACAAAACGTCAACCGAGATTTAATTAATTAAGTATCAGATACACAACGGTACAGAAATTCGCCATATTTATACCTTATCCTCCCGATGGCCAGCGGTTCAGTTGTAGTTATGCATTGTATGCTTTCATATTTCATAATTATTCATTTTCTGCCAATGTCCCCTTGACACCGCCTCTCTCTTGGTCCCTGCGGGAATGACATTTTGTTCTGTTCTTTGACCAGCTCCGCTACTTCCTCTACTTGAAGTCAGAACTTTTAATTACTAATACTCATGATTGATTAAAATTAATATGACAGCCATGACTTTCTCATTTCAGAAATATTCTCATCGTGGGACTGAATGATATTTCGCCGTGTCTGATGCTTGTTTATATATATAATATATCTAGCGACATAATAGTTATTGTCCCTGTTCTTATGTTCTGATTGAGAACGCGTCATTATTTAGCTGCGATTTAAAATCAGATGGCTTGCATCGACTTTATTCTTCCAGGAAACACACTCATATGTGAGTGATACTTTCTAAGGGTTTCCATGTAAATATTTGGCTTTTTTGCAATTTTCGTAATTCATTTTATTTCGTAGAAGGTATTTTTTAACATTCCCCGTATAAAGCATTTGAATACATCACGAAATATCTCAATTTCAGTGCTTTAGAAGTAATAATGTACGTTAAGTAATTCGTTGAGTTTTGTTTCAGTAACCAGAAGTAATTTGATGACCGAGAGATCACGGGTAATCCGATTACATTAACCAATGCGGTTTTACCCTACTGTACCAAAGTGTTTTTACCCTACTGTACCAAAGGGTTTTTATCTTACTGTACCAAAGGGTTTTTCCCTTACTTTGCCAAAGGGTTTTTAATCTACTGTGCCAAAGGGTTTTTACCTTTCTGTACCAAAGGGTTTTTCTCTACTGTACCAAAGTGTTTTGACTCTACCTACTAAAGGGTTTTTATCTCACTGTATCAAAGGGTTTTTACCCTACTGTACAAAAGGGTTTTATCTTACTGTACCAAAGGATTTTTACCCTACTGTACCATAGTGTTTGTACCTTACTGTATCAAGGGGTTTTTACCTCACTGTATCAAAGGGTTTTACCCTACTGTACCATAGTGTTTGTACCCTACTGTATCAAGGGGTTTTACCTTACTGTACAAAAGGGTTTTATCTTACTGTACCAAAGGATTTTTACCCTACTGTACCATAGTGTTTGTACCCTACTGTATCAAGGGGTTTTACCTTACTGTACAAAAGGGTTTTATCTTACTGTACCAAAGGATTTTTACCCTACTGTACCATAGTGTTTTTACCCTACTGTATCAAAGGGTTTTTACCTTACTGTACCAAAGGGTTTTATCTTACTGTACCATAGTGTTTTTACCTTACTGTACCAAAGGGCTTTTACCCTTCTGTACCAAAGTGTTTTTACCTTACTGTACCATAGTGTTTTTACCTTACTGTACCAAAGGGCTTTTACCCTTCTGTACCAAAGTGTTTTTACCCTACTGTACCAAAGTGTTTTTACCTTACTGTACCAAATTGTTTTTACCCTACTGTACCATAGTGTTTTACCCAACTGTATCAAAGGGTTTTTACCCTACTGTACCAAAGGGTTTTTACCCTACTGTACCCAAGGGTTTTTACCCTACTGTGCCAAAGAGTTTTTACCCTACAGTACCAAAGTGTTTTTACCCTGTACCCAAGGGTTTTTACCCTACTGTACCAAGGTATTTTTACCCTACAGTACCAAAGTGTTTTTACCCTACTGTACCAAAGTATTTTACCCTACTGTACCAAAGGGTTTTTACTCTACTGTACCAAAGTGTTTTTACCCTACAGTACCAAAAGGTTTTTACCCTACTGTACCAAAGTGATTTTACTCTACTGTACCAAAGTCTTTTATCCTACAGTATCCGAAAGTGTCTTTCATTACTCAGGTTTTACTTAACCCCAGAACTAATAATTCGGTATCTGAAAAACAACCTTTTTATTTTGAATTTCATAATTTGAATGTTCTGAGTTTTAATTTGGTACCTCACAACTATTTGATGTGTCAAATTTTACTCCTTTTTTTCAAGGGACATATTAATAAACACCGGGACAGTTAATAGCTGACTTGATTGAGAAATGTCATTGTTGCCGTAACCCATATATTTGTTTCGACTTGTCATCGTTCTGTTCTTCAGGCGCTTGTCATTGCTTAGAAAAGATGTATTTTTAATAGAGGTCTGGTGGGGTTGGGGGATGCTGTGTTATTTTTTAAGCGTCCTTGATGCGGGACAAAAACAGTTGTAATAAGCCATTGATGCGGAACGAAAACAGTTGTGGTTCGTCATTGATGCGGAACGAAAACAGTTGTGGTTCGTCATTGATGCGGGACAAGCACAATTGTAGTTAGCCACTGATGCGGGACAATAACAGTTGTAGTTAGCCCTTGATGCGGGGCGTAATGGATGTGGTTGATTTGTATTTGAGATCTTGATACAGGACAACGACGGTTGTAGTTAGTTTGTAATCAAGTCCTTAATACGGGGCTAAAATGACAATGGTAACTTTGTTTAAGATCCCGCGGCATGGAACGAAATAGTATGTGACTAGTTATATCTAAGATATCACTACTGAAGTCCCTAATTAAGAGCCACTCCGACACTCTGTAAACTTTAAAAGCAAAATGAAGGAATTTTTGTTTGTAAAAAAGTATACTGCTATCGAAACATTCATGGTAAAGCAATACATTCCATGACAATAGTCCTAAAGAGCTAACAAAACATGTCTTTATGAGCTTTCAAATAGCGTTAATTTTATTTACTAACCAAATAGGTAATGGATACGGGAAAAGACATTTGACTGATGCCTTTGTATTTGGAAGGAAAAGAGTATCATCTACCCTCCTATGATAATAATACATAGGACATGGATAGGGATCACATACTACAACAGACAATACCACGACAGACATCGCGCTGGTTTGTGAATGTAGTCCTAGTAGTCAGTTAAGTATAACATACGGCAGCGCTATACACACATACGTAGTGAATATGGCTCTCTATTTATAAGTCAAGCCCAGGAAGAATTTGGATCAATCGCTCACACCAGAGACATCTGTAGAGCCAACTTCCCAGTTACAAACACCCGCGGAATGCAGATAGAAGGCAAGGTTGCGCTTGTGACGGGAGGTGCTCAAGGTTTAGGATATGCATTTGTACAAGCACTTCTCGACAAAGGAGCAAAGGTAAGAAATGTCAAGGTGTAATTGTCTGTCTGTATTATTATACAATCTAGGTCGTCATTCATTTAAGTTGCTGTTAAACTGACAATGCAGTGTTGTAACATTGATGTTGTTATTATTTACATGTTTCCAGTAGTATTGTTTGTAAGGCCACACACCAAGTCGCTTACAGCAGAAATAATCATACGTAGCCATGCTATGAACAATATAGAATACATTGATTTAACTAAGTATATTAAATTAATATATCATGACATCTACTACTATTGTAAGAAAGGCTATCATTACTATGATACAAGCAAAGAGGTCAGGATGAAGCATCAGATATCTGGGCTACCGACATAGCAGAATCACTCGCGTACAATGGAACTTCTCTACAAATCGATTGGTCCATTGTTTACATTTGGTAAAGATACTGAGTTGTTAATGTTCATGTTATGAGCTACAACCAGGAGGATTTCGGATTTTCGCATGGTCTGGCGTTTTACATCTGGTGTGCAACAGACGAATATTTTAAAACATTACTGGTTCTATTGATACACATTACAGTATATCTGCTGTGTTGTTTTGGCTCCGTTTGATGATAAAGAATAACAGACACTCGCCATATCTGTACCTTTAGCTGACTGAAACACGAGTTCTGTTTCTGTACTTACTCGTGACCCCCGAATTTTCGATTTCATCGTGTAGTGAGGATATCATTCCTTATTTATATATCAGCTGCTGTTTGAATACCACAAGAGAGTAGCAACATTCAGTATATATATATATACGTGTATCATGTATATAGATCTCCTATTCTGAAAGTCGGGGCCAAATGTACATACTTATGGGTATCGCACTCGATATAATTACAAAGATGTTCTGATAGCATTTCGAACACTCCAGTAACATTTCCTGCCAAGGATAGATTTAAATCTGTAGTTTTTGTACTGTATTGATCCCGTACGTATCATCTTCTTATACAGGCAACGAAATAACATGCAAAATTGAAGCTAGCAAGCACATTTCGTAGCAGACTTTATCATGATATATCATAATCACCGAACATACAAGTTTCAGGTATTACTTAGCGTATATATGTGGTCTTCAACCGAACCCGTTTAATGTTTTAGATGTCGTGTCATTTTGGTTCAAATGTATGAAATCTCTTTTAATGAAATTCTAATATAATGTAGTTTTGATGTACATATACTTATTACAATATTTCCTTTTTATCCATTATAACACATGGGCTTTTGAACATTGCAAGTTCATGCACATTCAAGATTGTTTGTGTATATTCATGTGATTAATCATTGTAAATGAGTTGTTCACAACGATTTGTCATCAAGAAGGTTGGTTATACATAGATAAACAAGGAGTACAGGGTGCTAAAGTGACATGACAGTTACTTAAAATGATAAATGTATGGCCGTGCACGTTTCATAAATCATATACAACCATATGGTCATCGTCACACCAGCATATTAGCAGTTCTTTACCATAGATTGCAGTCTCCAGTACGAGAAACACTGCTAATTATCTAGTTAAGATGCGACGCACAAAATCATGTACATCCAAAATAACATAGTAACGAATGATTGTAAGTCATCAACAAGTTACAGTTATTAAGATATATAACGGTGTTGGATATCCTTGTAATTGTGTATTTAAGTTTCAACACAAGCCATAAAGCATGTGGTGACGTGTTGTATGTATCCTTTAACATGTATCAGGTAGAGTTTACAAAACTTTGTCTATTGTCCGAAGCATATAATTGTGAAGTGTAATTGGAATTTCCATCACATCTGACATATTTTGACAACAAATACTGGCACTATCTTAACGTTTTTTAATCTCCTTTGTGTTACCTTACGTTTTTGTTTTGATAAATTTCCATGCAAAACGCGCACCTAAGCTATAGGTGCTGAAACATCCGTCACTCAACATCAAAACGATGCTAGTCAGTTAGGTTATGCTACACTGTCTTAAGTTTTGTTCATGAATAATTGTGACGAACACGTAGCTTTCTAATTAATTAGCGTAGCAGTAAAGTTTTACATTGTTATGTTGTCCTATTTTATTAAAACCATATATTATTTTCATCTGTAAAAGTAACTTGAGGTAATCAGTATTCAACCAAAGAATACAGCCTTATGTAATGTTGACTAAGTGTATGGCACAATAAAATAATGGGTAATTGGATCAATAAGTTGACTATTTAATCAAATGTACATTTAGGAGGTATGCGGATTATGTTGCTGGACATGTGAAAAAACTATGTCAGGTATTTGTAAGGATTTCGTTGTGTTTTGTTCGCATTAATTATGTTACAACAAAAATATGTCATTCATCTTGTTTAGGAGTGGCGACATCTACATTAATTAGGTTTTCCTTTACACAGGACAAACTCTTTATACTATAAGTAATTATGACGCAGCGTCACACCATTATGTTCTGTGTGACCATTGTAATATTCTAGTAAAACTAATATTTAGTTTATTATATTTATACGGTTCAGACGCAGTAGTTTTGATCCCATCTAAGCAGTTTGACAGTAATAATTATTCATATACCAACATTTTTTAACATCATTGTTCAGATAATGTTTTCGTGGGACTGCTGCAGTCGGCTTCCTATACCGGTCATTGTAAGTGTCGGGTTGTCTGTCTGTTTGTGAATGAGAGCTTACAAATGTGTTATCATCTTACATTTTTTTCTACTTTAATTTATACCTTGCCAACCTTTTCCTTCTTGATATCCATCTTTTCGACAGCGTTTCACTATGCACCTGAATCGGTACGTAATTGACATATTACGACGAAAGTTGTAAAATACACCAATAGGAAATGAAATAGCCAGATATTTTTGCAATTTTTCCAGACGGGGCTGTTCCTAGCACTTCATATATTTATATACCGAACACGGAAAGGTGTTGGGTCACCACGCACTACAAAGTACTGTATTATTTAAATGGTTTATTTGGTAAGCTAAGCGATGTTGACCACATCATATAATGCATGGAACATTCATCATATGAGTCGATACATTAGCGCTATTTTATACCCCACTTTTAAAGCTAACGTCGATAAGGTAACTTATTACACACAGACCCGTCTGTATTACCCAACATTGTAAATAATGGACACCATATAGCTGTCAGCCATATTATATAAGCCAAACGTCTTTTAAGAATAGCAATATATTTACTGCTCAATCTTAACCACCTCAGGTATTGACCAGAAGGTTATATCAGTATTATACATTTTGATTAATTTCAATTGTGTTACAAGTCAGATAAAATTTCCCCTTTAATTGAGGGATTAGATTTACACATCTCAATGAGGATAGAAGACAACTTGAAAACGCATAGAAAGTTAACTATTAATTATTTGTCGTGCGTACGGTTAACTTAACTACAATGATTAATTGGATATAATCGTGGAACATGACCGGCTTTATCAGCACAACTTTCATTTCCTCTATCATTCTTCATATCCATCATCGTCTTTTAACTTGTAGAAAGCAAATTGGCGTTCACTAGAATACGCATTTTGACCTATTCATTCAAACATTTTAATATGTATACATACAATGAATGAGTCAGCAAAAATTGGTATTCGAAATGACATTTGGATGGACCGACTCTTGTAATGTTACTTCCTGTCCTGTCTGAAGTGTACAATGCAGTGTTGAGACATGACCACTTCAAATATTACATTCTCGTGTAATACATTGTATATACAAATGTATTCAAGTCTATATTTTCTTTGTGGTGGAGGTCAAGGAGGGGGAGAAGAACTTCAAAATGTAAATGAATACTAATAAATACTGAGATGGTGCGTCACATTGATCGGGACACACAGACATCACCTCATTTTACATGTATATGGCGGAGAGAATGCATACATATTCACAGAATCTTAATCTAAACACAAACTCGATGAAATAGGGACAAAATAATGAAATATTGTAAATAAATGATATAAAATAACAATGGTCATTCATTTAAATAACACCGTCGGATAAATGTTAGTCCTAACATGTGCTTTCTGATAGACGTTTTTGTTTTAAAGGTTCCCTGATCTGCACTGTATAGAGATACCATAAAACCGTTTACAAGGCCCCTGATTCGTATGGACAATGTTTACGTTTAAGATAAGACTGTCAAACATCTATAGAGATTGAAAGTAAATTTGATTTTGTCCTTTGACAAGTACTTATTTTAACTCATACCACAGAGTCTTCAATACTGACTGACACCACTATTATTGAACGTGAAGTGTCACACCATGATAGGACCTTAATATAAAACAAAACCACATGTGACCCAGATGCTATGCTTTTATTATCTTTAGAGGTTTTCTGAAATCTCCACTGTTAACAGAGATACCATGTCGAGCGCATATAATCCTATGAAATATCTGTTGACACTTTTCGAATATTAAAGGTATCAAATATGTTGACGTCAGAATATGAAAGAAAATATTTACACATATGCATCTGGCAAAGCGCTCGAAGAATAAGACCTTGTGTGCCAGGTTCACTATGAGCGTCTTCTTCTGCTTCATCGATATTCATGTAGGTCATTGCCAGAAATGTCATGCTTTCAAAATGAGAACCATGTCAATAACATCTAAACCTCTATTGATTTAGGGTTTATCCAAATGAGATAGTGATATGTCAACGTGCATTTCTCGAGACCCAGATTTGAAATTGTTACTGTCAGGTGTCGGGTAATTTGGAACAAGCATTATAATACTATATTAGCTTCATAATGTAAACTTCACATAGGTCTGTAAAGCAAGTATACCAACATTGGGGTTTGGAAGATTTAGCCGGTGGCTTAATCGATCATTAGAAAAGTTTTATTCAGATTTCCGAATTAAGTGATTTAGTGTTACGGTACTACATGTTTATCTTCAGTAGACAAAATGTGTTTATCATGCACATCAAGTTTTTCATTTGGAGACATGATAAAGCACCATGTTACGTCAGCTTTTTAACATTAAAAAAGTCAGGCTCAATTCGCATGTTACACGCAGCGGTAATCGGGTTTCTCCATATCGTGACAAGAATGTAGATACTGTATACAGGTAATGAAAAAACATATCAGGCGTCTGGTAAAAGAATCACATCAACGTGTGCATTTACATGAAATGTCTCATCAAATACAATTTTTAAGGACAAAACAAAAACGTGTACTTGTATTTTTTCGCTCTCGTCAGACAGATTAGTCCTGTATTTGTTTCATGTTACTAACTAAACAGTCATTCACAAACGAAAGGAGTAAATTCGTGTGATCAAGCCGACCAAACTGTAGCGTCAATGGTGCGAGTAACCTACAATCACCACTACCTTTGGAAGTATCCGTGTAAAACTTTGTTGTTGTTGTTCATATTATGTACAAGTTTTACAAACTATGAATTCAGATCATGATTATGTTCACAAGTTTTCTTTCCTTCATATTTTTATGTAAAATATGTCATTAAACTGATGACAGTGTATTTAAGCTATTAGAAACACCGAATTTAGCATTGAGGATGTTGATGGTTTCTATAATAATTCCTTTCTATACCTTGAAGTCCTAGTGCTGTCCGACAGGTAACATTGGTATATTCTACGCCGAAATACCGCTAAGTTGGTTTTATTTCCTAAGGCCTTTCTAAATTACACTTTACTTTTGATCTTAGCGTTGACGGTCCACCTAATCGGGAAAGCTATGTGTTCTGTCCTCAAAACAAGACATAGTAAAGTCATTAAATTGGATCACTGCGTATTATACTTGAATTGGATGCAAAATGACGTGCGTGCATACCAATTAATTTTTTGTATTCACTTACTGTAAACAAGATTATAATAACTGAAATGATTGGGACACTACCGGACACGTTTACAATATTAACAAACTGAAATGTTACATCCTAGATACGATAGATATAACATCCATCCAAGCAATACATTATGGGCAAATGGTTTATCGGTCTGTTCGAATAACTTTTAAAACATAGTAGCAAACAAGGGGCAAGATACACCATTTTAGTGACTAGAATCGCTGTATCATTGTTTCGCTACTGAACCTTCAAACTTTCCAATTTCGACGCAGACTCACTCAGATATCAAAGGTAAGGTGGTGTGTAGAAACGTCAGGAAGGGATAAGGTCTTCAGGAAATAGAGATAGGATTAAGATCACCAATTCAGTCGCCTATCACGATCATGGAATGGAGAGGGCAGGTCCAGTGCAATTCTATACGCGGTAATAGAAGGTCAGTATATTTTAAGCAGTTATATAATATCGCGTTGTCGCGAAAAATAATAACCGCAATTGTTTTCGTTTCCAGGTTTGTTTCTGTGATATCAACACCAGTCAGGGAGAGGCCACTCTTGGAGAACTCTGTGAAAAATATGACAAGGAAAAGATTATGTTTAGGCGCTGTGACGTCACAAGTCAGGAAGACATGGAAGGTATGTCATAAATCTTATAAAGTTTTTAATGGATGGTAAATAAAATTGAACGATATCCATGGTATGAATACTAAGATTACCTAACTAATCACAAAGTGATGATAATCAGCCATCTGTACTAATTCCAGTAATATAAGTAAGATAGAGTATGCGGTACATTTTTATCACTACAGCAAAACACTGTTATAGGGTTTTTATTTCGCTCTTTAGACACGAAACGTTTCAATATAGAATTGTGAATACGTAGTCTGTGTTGACTTTAGTAATAAACAGCACCATCGATATGTATACACCTGTATATTGCTTGTTTCGTTCTGTATGCAAGTCCAAGTCATCTTAGAAGACATATTAATTTTGTCAAAAATCATTGAAAAACAGCAGACAGCTTTACTACACACAAATGACATTTACATGTTCCATATTTGGTGCAAGAAACGCTCATCGCGACAAATCATACCGGTTTTTCTTCATTTCGTTTGTGAGGTCTATGTTTATTACCAGTTTTTCTGTTACCTACTAGAAAACTGTAGGTATTCCATTTCATAAATCACATAAAATACATGTTGTTCGATGTCATTTCACTCTCCAAATCATTTATATAGTTATATGGTTTCAACTGTGACGTCACAATGCATTCTGCGAGAATGTGACGTCATCTCCTAACGTAACTATAAGTCACATGATATAACCATAACGAGCTCAGTAACTTTTATTTGATGCAGTTTATGATCTGTTTTCTTGACTAGTCACTTTGCCTGATAATTTAACTACGTAATTATTAAAAGAAAATTGTATTTCCTATCTAAACGATTTGATGTGTATGTATTACGTACAATTTGTATCAATGTTCCTTGACCAAAAAGAGTTGTGCATTCTTCACATTGTTCTGTCTCCACTGGCAACCACTAGATAGGCTTTGTAGGTCGTCAGAAACCGCAGTCAAGTATCATTATTATTTTCTAACCAATGAACATAATTGTTTACTGCGTTTGGCATCTGTCCATTCATAAATGTTTTTCATGACAGTAGTGTCTGTTTCCTGTTCACACGATTTACAAAGATAATCTGTGTACTGTAATGCTTTGTGATTCTACTGAAGGTGTAGTGAGGAGCGTGAAAGGGAGGGGTGTCAAATCCGAGATAGATTCAGCCTCCGATAAATTAAGTAACATGACAAGTCCTAGAAGGACGAAACAGCTGTATGATGTAGCATCACTGACGAGTCCTAGAAGGATGAAACAGCTGTATGATGTAGCATCACTGACGAGTCCTAAAAGGACGAAACAGCTGTATGATGTAGCATCACTGACGAGTCCTAGAAGGATGAAACAGCTGTATGATGTAGCATCACTGACGAGTCCTAGAAGGACGAAACAGCTGTATGATGTAGCATCGCTGACGAGTCCTAGAAGGACAATTTGCTATATAATGCAGCATCACTGACGAGTCCTAGAAGGACGAAACAGCTGTATGACGCCATCTAGTTTATAATTTTGCTCTACTGATGCAATTCAACATTTGTATGGCAAGGTGCTATTTACTGGCCATTCATATAATCATCGGAAATAACTCAAAACATGGAGAAGACGCTAGTTAGATATTGGAATAGGTCAGTGCTTTCAGATTCGATGTTTAATGTTAGATGTCAACAGCGGGGTCCCTCATAGATGATAAACATCAGTTAAGTTATATCCTGGGAAAGTCATCACCTTGTGAACTATTTCTTTTTTTCTATTTTGAACACAATTTAGTACATTTTTTTTCACGCAAATTTCAATATTAAGATATACAAACAACAGGTACTAAAACAAACAAACAAGAAAAAAACCCACCAAACAACCAACCAAACAAAGATAACACAATAATAGCTAAAAATAAAGTGAAGATCAGGTCTTTGTGTATTTTCTTTTAACTAAAACATGCTTTTAAGTGTGCGGTTTAATAATTGCACAGTAATGTATATACTTTAATAATGAAATACGATAATTAGAACTAACTGCGTGTAATAAGTACATTTATTGGATATTGAACATCGAAAATCCTTGATACGCATCGAAGAAGAACACGTGATAGTTTCACGTGCAGCAATTTTGAGTTGTCCGTGATAGCTGGCGCCAAATAGTCAACTGTTAAATATTCTGCGTAAAATCTGATTTATAAACTATTACCATGACATATCGAGGTCATGACTGGATATATCACTCACCGATATCATATGCACATGGATATTATCTGACCTCACTGACCACTCGAGATGAAGGTTATAGTGCTATCAAACAGGGGCGCAGTCCTATTGAAATGCTGTTTACTCAGCAAGTGGCTTTTGATGTATCTTCAACATTACTTTAATAAAAACATTTAATATTTGTAATCTGTCCACTACGATCTCCATTCCATGTTCAAGGAATTCCTTTATTTTCTGGTCGTTGGAAACTTTCTTTTCAAAGAAATTTAAACCTAACATGTGTATGGATTTGAAATATACTTTAGCATATTTTGTGAAATGTACAAGTCAAGAGAAATATACTCAAAAACTTGTTAGTTTGGTGGCAAAATTTTCTCACAGACTACTGGCATACCAGTGGGTACAAACTGTGCTGACTTATTTTTCTTTGCGAGGCTGAATTTACCGAAGAACTTACCAAAACACAGACACTGACTAGTAGGGAGTAATCACTAGCACTGCTACATGCCCTCATTGAAGGCGGGATTATTCGACCACCGTTTAACACACTGAGTGAGAGTATCGCTAATACAATAACAGAAATATAACGTTTTTACAGGACGCAAGATCTGATTTCATTCAAAAGAAATAAAACGTAGTTGTTTCCAATGAGGATGTCGTTTTTGTATGCGTGTGTCTGAAGATAAGGAACGATATCTGTCAAGTTACAAAATAGAGGTTTTATTCTACTAGTACCTCATATCAACAAAGTCGCTTGCCAAGCCATATCTATGATGATACCTAAAACAGGCGTATCTACAACGGCGTAAAAAAAACCCAGCCATCACCACAAATCTTACCGAAACTTAATATGTGTAATTCATTGAGAAAAATCTGAAACCTCGTGATACGTTGTTTGGAAAATATCCATGACTTTGTGTAGGATGTTTACAGTGGGCTTAGATAACACTGGTAACGAATGATAAACTGGTTTAGACAATGTATATTACTGCAAACTTAGTTATATTCGTGGTGCACAAATTTCAAAAGTGGATCCTCTATGGGCATTCAGGGGAAAGATATTATTAAGAAGTTTACTTTTGCATATTATTTCGTGGGTTAAAAGTAGCCAAAAATAATCGAACTAAAACTTTGGCGAACGTTTATTAGTTTTCAGTATGCATGTTCAAAAATTAGGACGATCCAGAATCCAATCCGAATCAGTAAACAAATTACCAAATTTATAAAGATGTAAAGCCAGAGTAGAAGCCAAGATAAATATAAAACAGTCAATGTTTACAAATAACCACGTCTCGCACCTGACCCCTGTAAATTTAACGGTAGGTCATCGCGAACCTCTCTTAAATCATGCTTATCCGACATGATCGTTGCACGATGTACACAGTACAGACATCAGTTTCTTCTCCGTCCTGAAACCGATTATATTGTATGTATACAAAGGGTGATTGACTGCTGCTTCCGTATTTACATATAATCATACGGTAGACTATAGCCACTAATATGTGTTACTAATATTTAGTATTCCTGAAACGTATATAATTTTGTTAAAAGAATTTCATTTTTATCTAAAGTAGGACAAATATAACAATGTATTGTTTGAGAACCTATCGTCGAATTTGTAATATATGGAAACTTAAGAATATTTTAAAGAGAATTTTAATAAAATAGTGTTTGCAATTACTGAAAATTTGACAGAACTACAATCAGCTGATTCGGTGATTTGTTTTTATAGAGATATATGTCTGATTCATGGGTAATGAAAACAAGGTATACATACATTGTTAAATTGGGTAAAACAGATGGGGAATGGAAGCCGAACTAGTATAAGATGAACGCAAAACCACACATCTTCGGTATTCCAAATTGCAGGTCCTGGCCAATAGAGAAAGAAAACATGGCACGAAGAATAAACATGTAGAGAGCATATGTTGTATTGTGTATATATGTACCTAGCATTGTCATCGACAGCGCGTGAATTAAATAATAACGATAACAAAAAAAAAATGAGGAAATGATAAAAATAGAATTCATACTGATGTTTGTATCAATGTCTATGTTAATAACCAGATAAAGCTATCACAACATTGATTCTGTTTCTCGATATATTTACCTAAAAGGTTCAAATAATCGTATCACTCGGGATAGTTATGTTTTAATGACTGCACTACTGGAAGGACGTGAAAATTGTATCTGTTGTCTCTTATTGCTACATGGAATATTTATGATTGATCTCTATTCCGAAAAATTTTCTTCATAATGTGTCCTTTTATACTCCCTCACGTTTTGTGGATAGTTTGCCTCCTTGAGGAAGACTTTGAATTCTGTCCCCTGGCTTCGACATATTAGAGCCTTTAAAAGCGGTAGTGGTATTTCACTATTAAGTTGGCTCGAGTTCTGCATTATCACAAATATGCTTACACGAGTATATCACAACCTCCTGAAAACAAAGGCATACAATATATTCACTCAACTCGCAAACAGCGTCCAATACTATTCTTAAATGATTAATTAATCGATTAGAAAATTCAAACATGATAGTTAAGTATGTTATTTTAGGGACATTTGGTCACTGAAGCTTTTTGTTTCATTGTCTGATTCTCCTTTTGTCGACTCGATTTGACAAGTGATAAGTGATAAGTCTTCCGTAACATATGTTGTTGACGAACTATACCTGGATTATATGCATTTTTTCTAAATTATAATCTTGTGCAAATTTATTCGTATGTCACTTTTTTCAAATTCTTGTAGTTAGAGATCAGTATTTGAATATTTCAATTTCATTTCTTTTCTGTTTGAGATTTTGCCTTCTGTTACATGCAAAGCAAAGTATCTGCTAGTGTACAACTCAGTAATTACCAGCCAGTGATGTGGTTTTACTTGGCAAAGAGACACAACTGTACAGAACAATACGCACTGTTGAATGATAAACGTTGCTTAGCGGTCAAATTAGAATGAGATCAAAACGCTCCGTTCATCTTTGTTTGCATGCAAACATCCCCCCACGTGAACCGAAAATGTAATTATCTTTTGTATATTATCAACACGGAATAGTGCTATCCTAAGAGCACAGCGATTTGTGTGTTTACCTGTAGATACGAGGGTCCCTTATCAATGTTCCACTAGACTTGTGCATTTTATCATTCGCAAATGTACCAGATTAGTAAAAAGATTCATCCCATGCAAAGATAAAGTTTCTTCCGAAAGCAATGTCCGTACTCCAATATCTTTGTTTATTTTCTGAATGGCTCCACTGATTTAGGGTTTTTCTGACGTGCTCTTACTTACTTCCGGAACAATGCCAGATTTGTTGTAGAATCGGTCGGATTTAACTTGTATAAACACACAGTTTGGGTGTCTGCATTATCTGAAATAAAGAGTGAAGGTAAAAAAGACAATTGGAATGATATTTCTTACATTCGAGAAAAAAAGCTACGAATATTGAGAATAAAACTGAAATTTCGCTTGCTGCGAAAATATACGAAACATATAACTATGTCTTTTTCAATTACCTAACGGGTCTATATGTGATAAATATAAGATATTTCATACTGATTACAGACGTTTCTTCCAGCTCAAAGGCTTTTTCTAATTGAACGGATAGAAATTTAAGATTTTTTTTATCACCTCTGAGCCCTTTATCAGTAATGAAGGGATAATTTGAATACATTTTAGTTTAGCATTGTTGCATTTCAAAGAGAAGATATAATTCTTTGGCGCCTGGATCAACAAAAGTTTGAAACATCGGGTTTACAATGAACACTCGGAACAAAATGATTCTGGAATTAGTAAAAGAAAAATAATGCATGCATCGACAATTTTTGTATAGAAAAATATCTTAATTCATCTACATCTTAAAAATTATGTTGAAAGTGAATTTGAAAATAGAATATATAGAAATTCTATGGAGGTATATAAGTTGGGTAGAATAATAAATTTGTTGTTTTTGTGGGTGATTAATTGAACTTAATTTACCACGAAGTCAAGCGTTCACATATTAACATTTTTTCGAAAAACAACGAAATTTGATCCTCTCGAAAATACATTATCTCACAGTATATATCAAACTTGGTATATATGTCACATTTGTTTTGTCCAGTTCACTTCCCCGTAAAATGGATCGCCTCGTGTTTCAGCATCAATATTGGATGGACCAGCTAGGTTGATAGCACCATCAATTACATGTACCTATACATCTCCCCTCGCGCATTTAAACGTCAACGGATACTTCGTCAGTCCGTCTTTGCAATTTTCAAATTTCTTGAAAGAGATTACTTGTTGTTAAGTTCATTAAAACTGAATACTTGAAAGAGAAAACCTTCTCCATTTTGAAAGATATCTTTTGATTTATGTGAGATTCGACATTTTATTAAATAGCTTTTGCAAGTGGAACGCACTTTATGTTGAAGGCTTAATTATTTCGGGGTACAAATACACAAATCTTACGTAATCTTTAGAAACATGATTCTGCTGCAAATTCTTCTAATTATTCATCATCGTATGTGTGTGACACAACAACACAATAATTTAAGTGATTAACCCAACAATTATAATCTCATTACGTATGTTACACAATTTTTTACTTCCATGGGTAGATATGACGTTTTCATTTGATTTCATATGCAATCCATTTAAAAATGCGGTTATGTTGGTAAAAGGTTTTGGAAGTTCAACTTTCGTTGAGAGTTTGCCTCGTCTAGTTGAAGAATATTCTATATTACAAAGGTCACATTGAAAACCAGCAGCTGTGAAACACATTTAATCAATAGCCGATATTGTGTATATTACATAACTTCCAGACCCGCTGTTTTCCATGTGATGAGTATCCCTTTACCAAGAATAACGGATGTGTTTGAGTTCATGTGTATGTGGTTGTCGTGTAGTTGCCGTGTGGCACTGTATCTATGTCATAACTAACATGTACTACCAATAACACTGCATCCGAGATTCCAATTACCTATAACATTATCCAAAATTGACAAAGAAAATCGCGTCTACGGCTACACTTGAAAAGAAACCTCGAGAGCAGTTTTGAGTAAGACGCTCTTTGAGATAAAGAAGTTATCTGGGGTCAGACGTTTAGTGTGCAAGTGTAATTACATATAACAAAAACCAATAATTTGGACAGAGAGATCTGCCAAGAAATGGTGCAGTGCATTAAACGCGCTTTGTTGCCGGTGCGTCTGTGTTGTTTATTTGTCTATTTACACGCTGCTATATGTGCAATAGAACTGTGAAAATAACTAGGTTGCATTACAACAGATAATGTATTCTGATGATGTAAACATAATTAAGGATACAAAATAATAAGATATCCTTTAAGTGAATAATTTTGCCATACCTAACTTGTTTTATAGAAAAAACACCTAATACTTTGAAAATGTGCTGATTGCATATGACAATAGTAGTCTCAAGGAACATGTAGTGATATTATTACATTTAATAAAATGTTATAATATATATACTCATCTATATTTCATATTTTGAGAGGTGTGTAAAACGAGTCAGTTTCGGTAGTGTAGTTGTACTCGTGTTGAAGATTGATATAAGCGTGTGGGCGGTCTCCATACAATGCACGTCTATATAGCAAACTATTTCCCGTACTGGTAATTCTGGTTTTAAATGTTGGTTAGATTCATGGAAATCTATGAATTAAGATAAAAGGCATCAGTTACACACAGAAGCCGAACGCCAAAAAAGATACATATGTATTTTGACATTAATTGTACAGCGATGCAACTGTTCAGGATCATAGGGGCTGATAACATGTCTGTAGCCCTCTGGATTATGTTACCCCAGAATAGTATCTGTGACCGAACCTCAAGTAGCTATATTATTGACCCAGTACAAAACCAAGAAGAAAAAAGTTACATGTAAACAAACATTGAAAAGAAGTTTAGAGTTTACAATCCAAGAACTTGTTAACACTAGTAAAATGTTTATTTGGCTTATGTTAATGACGTTGGTAAAGAAATGTACCGGAATGTTTAAGTAATAGTTCATTCTGATATATAATCACCTGTCTCCCAAACCGATTCGCTTATTTCAAATAGCACGATTTTCAAGAAAGGTACTGACAGCTGACAGATTAATTCACAGCGCTGGTTTTCAAGTGATGCAGATCAGATTATGAGGAAGTGTTCGACTGCCATAATGATTGCGTTATTAAATCATTCGATGCAACTTTATTTCCCCGACTTGATCAATATCTACAAAATAAGTGTCGATGTAGCAGCAGAGCTTACACTTTCGGAACACCTGGTCTTCTTTTCCTTGTACTTTGTCATCGGTCTCCATGTAAACCTTCCTTTTGCTCATATATATCTCTGTTTCATAGATTTTAACTTGATATGAAGATTCTGTTGATATGTCAGTTTTTTCATTGTTGTTTGTTTAGCGTAAATTATCAAACACCATCCATTATGGAGTAATCTCTTTCCACCGTCTACCCCAACAAGATTTGCTTATTGATACGTGAAAATGATTTGGACATTGGTGCTATAAATTTAAGCTTAGGCAGTTTTTATGATGATCACATGATAAAATTACGATTTCATTAAAAATTTCATATATATTGAAGACCTCTATTTGCCATCTAAATGGAGGTATATGTACATAATCATTTATATTACAACATACACTATACAATGTATGAATCTTAACTGTCATGCCTGTCTCTTGAAATGGTTACTACTATATATAGTTTGATTAAACGCTTTGGTAACATTTTTGATGTGGGCTTATCAAGATACATATTGTTTTTTGAAACAGCACATCCCTCTGTAGGTAATCAATAAGATGACTTGCTATCAATACATACATTTTCACTTATGATTCGATACCGCACCGTAAAACATGAGTGTTTAGTGTTCGTGGTTGTGAGTCACTAAGCATTAACAATTGTTTTGCCGATGCTATATTGTTTACTTGTTTTTACTTGTTTTTTGTTTTCGTTATTATGGACGTTGTTTTATTGATGTATCAAATATATTAAAATGAACAATTTCACGTTGTATTTTAGCTGACAATTTATTTACGTGAGATCATTATAACTGCTGAGCTGTATTGCTTTATATTTACTTTCTATGTTTCAGCGTTATTTAAAGCAACAAAAGAGAGATACGGACGAATTGACATCGTCTGTAACAATGCTGGTATGGGCGGAGAGTCATACCCACAATGGGAGAAAGTTGTCGACGTTAATATAGTACGTAGTGTTTTAGACAATCATACGCAGGCAAAATACAAAATCTATTGGAGATTTTACTAATTGTCAGTGTTCAATTATTATGAAAGGATATTAGATACTGGTGGATGTGTCATTCTGCATAATTACATGTATTGTTCTCTTATGAAGCCTTAATGATAGAAGATAATTCGAACATGAACGAAATTTCACAGGCTAATTAGATTTGTAAATAGCAGCGCAAAATTAAGATAAATCAGATTTAGAAATTGAATTAAATTTAGTTTTAATAAAATTTGAGAAGTTACTGAACATAGAAGTGTCATAATTTGTAATTGCAGAAAGGAATGACGCGGGGCACGTTTATAGCTGTTGAATACCTTCGGAAAGACAAAGGAGGAAATGGAGGCGTCATCGTCAATATCTCCTCTGCTGCAGGTACATACATATACGTACATTGAAACCTTTGATGATCCCGTCAATAATCCTATAGATATAATCCTGATATTATTATATGGATTTCTCGTCCACATTCTTAATCAGTTAACGTAGTAAAAGTTTTCTCATTCTTCTACATGTTTGCAACCATATAATTAAGATATGTTGATGTTGAACGTGCACATGTTTTGGGATTCTTCGACCAGAGTAAAGTGCTCCTTACTTAACAGTGTGCAGGTAATTACTCATTTTACTAAGGAGATGCTAAGCTGTTTACATCTTATGTATACAACATTTTCATATATTCTGTAAATGACACGTTCGCCTTGTTTATGAATTATTGTAGTCGCTGTAATGGCTTGACCGAATTGTTTATAAGAATGTGGTTGTTTACTAGTGTCGACATCCGCTGATGTTATCAACTGTTATCAATATATATCCCAATACATCTATAGCTGTATATCGATAATTATGCAAGAATATACAGATATCACTTAAGTTTATCATGTTGATGTCAATGCCACATTGTTCAAAGGGTGTATCTAATTCATCGTAACTATTCTTAGGGATAGGCATATACTTTAAGTAAAATTCGGATGCAGAGTAGGTTCGGTATTTGCTACTAGCTTGCGATTTTTTGTGCAAATTTATACACATGTCGAAAAATTCTAGGAAATATTTTTGGTCTAAAACATACATTTTGATATTTCAAAAATGTATCCTGATTTTAAAAGAGTAAAAACTGTCCAAACAAAATGAAATGTTTCAAACTAATTAATCACTGACGCACTGGTTAGTAATATGTAGGGTATACGCCATTTAAGATGTTGTTTCCGAAAAGAACGCATTGTATATATTGCTTATATCTAAGTCAGATTTGTTTTCGTACTTGTATCGAGAGAATGAAATAGTCCTACTTTTTTAATAAAGGGTTTCGCTTCAGGCATCTAGACACGCTCCATAGTAAAACAAAACAGCGCATCACAGGAATTGTGCAGTTTTGATGATCTACTTTTAGTAATGATAGGATTTTAAAGTGTTTGAATACATTTATATGAAACGAGTGCATTCAAAAGTAGTTTCGAGATATTAATGTACCCATGCTAGGAAGTTGATCCTTTCATGAACATGACAATGTATAATTTATACTGATTAGGGGTGGAAATGGATGTCAAGTAACCAGAAAAGACGATAACCTCGAATGTGATTATGATGTTAACCGCATCGTACTCACGTCATGACCGACTTGAGAACACAGATCATGTTTAAATAGTGTCAGTCTTATTAGGCATATGTCCGTGACAAACGCGTAAGAGGATTCAATGTGAAATTCAATACACCAACCAACCTACATAGCCTCCAGTATCATCGATTTGTCTGTCACCGAGAACGATATGATCTCAAAACAAATCTATACCTATAATTATAGTAACATATGTTATTAGTCTATGACAGCTTCAGGAGTTATCTAAATAACAATCTGGAAAGTACCTACAAAGAACATAATCATAATTCAAACTCGAATGCAATAAAACGATATGAACAAAAGAAAGACTTAAACGGAGACTCTTGAAAAGGTACAAGGAGAATAAGACCAGGTGTTCCGTAAGAGTTATCATCAATGACACCGTCGTGTAAAACCTGGTCAACCCACGTAATATTACATCTTGACTGAATTTATTTTCTCTGTTTAGTTCTAATAATATGTTCTGTTAACTTATAAGTTGATACAGACATTTGTTATTGTATTACATAACTATGTGGTGATATTTGCAATGTCTTCATCGCTATACCGCATAGCTTGGATAGGTCGCCATCTTGTTTCATAGGCTTCCGATAGGTCGTGTGTGTGTTTCCACATTGTCTTGCTCTGTGAAGTCTACTTTATTTTATACAGATTGGTGATATCAGCTTTTGTAACATAGTTTATTCAATTTCACATATTTTAATTTTAATTACGATAGTCAGGACAACACCCCTTTCGTTGTAAACGTACTACGACTCATTCTCGTCTTATCGCACTCGACGAGTCATACGTAAATTTCTAATTAAAACGGTACGACACATTTACTTAGACCATTTGACATTTTAGTAACATTCTTTGATTGCATAATCTCATATAAAAAAGTAATAATTGAAGAACTCTATTTATTCTTTAATTGACGAGTTTGTCATTCAACTATATTACATCGGAAACGACATTTCGTCCAGGAAAGAAAGGATTGAGTGTGAGAAATCTCAATTCCAACAACGAGGATTCCTTTACACACTTTGAGCACATGACGTGTTCCGTCACCATTTATGATACACAATTCAGACTGTGCGTCATATACAGGCCTCCCACTTCTAAACGGAACGGTCTCCGTAACAAACTCTTCTTTGATGAATGGTCTTCATATCTCGATCAACAGGTTGTAGCGCCTCGGGTGCTGATTATCGCTGGCAACCTGAATTTCCACTTGGATGATAACACTAATGTTGATTCCTGACGGTTCGCCGGAATCCTTGACTCCCGGGGGATGATACAACATGTGACAGAAGCTACCCATTCACATGGTCATACACTAGATGTGATTATCACTAGGGGAAATACTTCTCTAATCCACGGAGCAATTCTAGTGGCAGATCCATGTCTGAGCGACACTAAGGGAAACCTATCTGGTGATCATCTTGCTGTCTATGCCATACTAAATTGTGGTAAACCAAAACGTGCCAGAAAAGAGGTCAGCTTCCGGAAATCCCGCGAAATTTCTGTACCTGATTTCATCAAAGACATTCAGTCATCTTCAGTCCTTCAGACTACTGAGGGTGGAGGTGACTGTCTTGTTGAAGCATATAACTCTGGTATCGAGGCTCTGATCGAGAAACAAGCACCTCTTCAGACAAAGGTAATTACTGTCAGACCTAACGCGACTTGGTACAACGAACAACTTCGTGATGCAAAACAATTGCGGAGGAAGACGGAGAAACGTTGGCGAAAGACCAAACTAACCATCCATCGCCAGATATACAGAGAACATTGTTGGGCAGTCAGTTCACTACTCATTCAACGTAAGAAGGATTATTATTCAGGTAAAATCATAGAATGTGGATCGGATACAAGACAGCTTTTTAGACTCATCAGAAACCTAATGGGACATACTGGTGAAATCGCCCTACCAAGCTGTTCATCTGAAAAAATCTTGTCCAACAAGTTCAGTGATTTTTTCCAGGATAAAATCAACACAATCAGGCAAAAGATTGATGCTGTGAACTCAACTTCCGACACTGGCATCTCTGCCATGGATGCCGATATCCAAATATCAGGTGAACCTTTGACGCAGTTCACTCCAACAACCGAAGAAGAATTGCGCAAGATCATTACAAACTCTCAATCGAAATCTTGTGAGCTGGACCCGCTTTCCATAGTTTTACTGAAGCAATGTCTTGATGTACTGCTCCCCTTGATCACCTTAATCATGAACAAATCATTAGTCTAGGGTTCCATTGTGTTTCAAGAAGGCTAATGTAAGACCACTGCTGAAGAAGCCTGGACTGAACAAGGAAGAATTAAAGAACTACCGTCCGGTGTCAAATCTCCCTTTCTTCTCTAAGATCTTGGAGAAGATTGTGTCCCAGCGACTTGAGGATCATCTTCATGCTAACAGTCTTCATGACAACTTGCAATCAGCCTATCGCACAGGACATTCCACTGAGACGGCCCTACTTTGTGTCTACAGTGATATTGCTGCCTCTCTGGATAACAAGTGTAGAGCGGTTCTTATCATGCTTGATCTGTCTGCTGCATTTGATGTTATTGACCATGGTACACTGTTCAAGCGTCTGGAGTACTCTTATGGGGTGACTGGTGATGCATTACGCTGGACCCAGTCTTACTTGAATGAACGACGACAGTGCGTTGCCATTGGATCAACTGTTTCAGACAGCAAAACCTTAGACTTCGGAGTTCCTCAGGGGTCCGTTCTGGGACCTAGAAAATACTGTCTTTATTCGAAACCAATCGGGGAGATTTGTCGTCATCATAACCTTCAGTACCATTGTTATGCCGACGACACACAAATCTACATGGTTATCAGACCTCAAGACAACTGGGACATAATAGTAGCAAGTCTTGAAGCCTGTCTTAATGACATCAGTGCTTGGATGAACTCAAATATGCTCAAGCTCAATCAGGAAACGACAGAACTGATCGTCTTTTCCCACAAGTGTCAACACACTAAAGGTCTCCAGTTAAAGGTCGGTGCCCAAACTATTGAGGCCGTCCAAGCTGTGAGAAACCTTGGCGTACACTTTGATATCTCTCTGAACATGGAGAAACAGATAAACTCAATTGCCAGTTCCTGTTATCACCAAATTAGAAACATTGGGTGTATCCGTCAGTTCATCACCACAGATGCATGCAAGACATTGGTACATTCTCTTGTTACTTCTAGGTTAGACTATGGTAACGCGTTACTCGTTGGTGTATCTGATGCACTAATGAGCCGCCTGCAGAGGGTACAGAACACCGCAGCACGCCTAGTTACCCGTACTCGAAAGAGGGACCACATTACACCAGTCCTTTACTTATTGCATTGGCTGCCCGTGTGATTCCGGTCACAATACAAGATTTTGATGTATACATACAAGGCAATAAATGGAACAGCTCCTGAATATTTGCAGGAACTTGTCACCGTTTATCAGCCGTCACGATCACTACGATCGGAGACAGAATCATTGTTGTGCGTTCCAAACTCTCTGACTGTGACTTATGGTAACCGGTGCTTTGGAAAGGTAGCGGCCACTTTGTGGAACAGCTTACCATCTGCTACCAGAAGGTCAAAATCCCTGGCCAAATTCAAGCGGGATATTAAAACCCACCTGTTTACGTCTGCATTTTAGACTCTCACGCAGACGTCCTGTATATACATACTATCACCACTACTTACTTGATTTGGTTACTGTGTTACATATGTTGATTACTGTGTTATACATGTTCTATAAATTTTGTAGTAAGATTATTATGTAATTGTGAAGCGCATTAAAGTATTTTTTTCAAAATAGATAGTGCGCTATATAAATGTTGTATATTATTATTATTATTTATTATTAAGTTGTCAAATGAGAACAAGGTTTAAAACATCGAAACTCATAGGCAATTGATAAAAGCTTGCTTAATGAGTGTTTGGCAACGAGTACATTCGATATGATATGCCTTTAACTTGAATCATTAGAATACTTAAAATAATTTCTCAATTTACTTCTTGTTCAAATATGAAGAGAAAAGAAATACTGGAATATTTTAAAAGAAAATGAAAACCTAATATGATAGGAAACAAAAAACGGCTTCACCCCTGAAATATGATATGATCTTCGCGTCAAGCATCAAACAGAACAATGAAACCTTTCTATTGAAAATGAAAAATACACAAAAAATAAATTCATCAAAACACATCGCTATAATGAAGTAAAAAGGAATCGAAACGGGGACACAATAATTTAAATAGGTAAATAACTTGATCCATAACTGTTATCTCTGACATTCAATAGTATATAAAAGAGGGTATTAAGTTTCTGAATTGAGGTCAGTTTTGACAAACGGATTGTTGTTAGGACGCTGACATTTGTCAAAGATAATAGAGAGGCTGTATTTTTTTTTTTTTTTTTTTAGCACTCAGAATAGTATCAGCATGACGTTCAGCGTGACGTTCTTCGAATGTCTACGTTCATTCAGAATGTTATAAGCGTGACGTTCTTTAAATGTCTACGTTCATTCTAATATATTAGCATTAATTAACTCAAACATTAACAGGACCAATATACAAAGTAAATACTGAGACAGATAGACAGCCATAAAGTCAAAGACACAGACAACACAAGGAGACAGAGAGACAGAAATGTAGGCAGTCAGACACACAGACAGACATACCCTGACACACCGACAATCAGAGAAACAGACAGACAGACATGCACACAATCATAAACATAGACAGCCACACTAGCAAACACATGACAGTCAAATAAACATACAGCCACACAGACAGACATCCTGACACACACACCCTAACATACACAGACAGACACATAGACTGACATACTCACAGACACACAGATAAATCACATACGGCCTTCCATGAAAAATGAAACGATAAACATGCGGACGACAGACAGATTGCGTTATCATCGGTTACAAGTCACAAATATTAAGATACACAAAAGAACGGTATACATAACAGATCCTAATCATAGACATATATGATATATGATAATTAGTCTAATTTTTTAACTACACAACAGATGCATAAGAGAATTAACAAGTGTTATATTACATGTTTTGGAACTTCTCAAATCACGTCACATCAACTCTTTTTTTTTTTTCTCTCTTCATCACAGTGCTCGTTTTATACTTTTAATTGTAATCTGTTCTTTACAAATGAGTTGTTTATTCAATATATATGTTTAAACATAGCTTGACATTTAACTTGTAATAAAAGAATGCCTCTTTCATTGATCTAGTATCTTATTAAGTATATTTTGTGCATATTCAATAGGCAATGTTTTCTTTTTATTGGACTTTACATATAAAATTAGATTGCTAACTATTACTGATTGAACTTTCTTCTGCATTTGATTGATACTATATTTAATACTATTATGTTTTATATCATTTCTACATTTCCACATTGTCCATTTGAATGCAATTAGCGCACTATTAAATAAAATAGAAAAGATACCTTTTTCCAGATAGCCCAGAGCTAATATTTCTGGAGTCAAAAGTTCATTCCTAAAACTTGGGAACTTCACAAATATTTTATTTCTGCATTGAATAAGGACAGATTTTACAACGTTACACGAGAAGAAAAGATGTAAAATATCCTCTAATTCTGTCTTACAAAAATGACATTTTCCGTCTGAATTACTAAATTTACTTATTTTTACTTCAGTATAAATGACGTTGTGTATACATTTCCATTGCAATTCCTTCATCTGTGTTGTCGTAAATGTTAATTCTATGTTATCCCAAACCAGTTCCCAGTCAAATTGTTTTTGAAAAGTTTGTTCCCATTTCAATTTGCAATTCGGTGTCAGATTTTTATTCAGTGTATTCATGATGATTTTAGGTTTTAATTTTCTCATAGTGAGCGGTTTCCCATCTCTTCCAATAATATTTAGGTTACTATCAATAATAGGGTATAAATAATCATTGTTCTCTCTGTTGTTCCCCTTTAACTCATCTAACCATACTATTGGAAAAGCATTTTTTAATCTCGATAACTCAGACATACAATTTCGCTTATCTGTTAACAAAGAGTATATATCACGGTCTTTTTTAAAATTCTTGTTTTGTACATCCCATATATCGTTGACTGTACAGATGCCACTTTTCGTAAATGAGGTAAAAAATAAAGGTTTTTCATTAAATTGAATAAAGTGGTTACCGAATAGCGGTTGTTTAAGAATCTCGTTTCTGTTTACATGTCTTAAATTTAATTTCTGATAAGTTGACCAT